ATTCAATTTTCCCCCGCATATTTACTATTTGCATGGAAAAACTAAGTTACATGATTGAGGATGAGATTAAAGAAGGGAGCTAGAAGCCTATTAGACTTGTCAAAGATGGGCCACCAATCTCTCGCCTATTTTTGCAGATGATTTATTTCTATTTGGGGAGGCAACTTCAGATCAAATGGTAGTTATTAATAATTGTCTTGATAGATTCTGCAAAGCCTCAGGGCACTTAGTAAGCAAAAGCAAGACACAGATGTCTGTGTCTAAAGGTGTACACTTCTCAAGGGCTATGGATCTTAGTAAGATTATGCGTATAGGGCTCTCCGGTGATCTTGAAAAATATCTTGGTATCCCTCTACTCCATACAAAAACCTCGTACAACCACTTTAAGCCCATCTTGGGTAAAGTTCAACTAAAGCTGTCAGGATGGAAGAGTAAAATGCTTACATTAGCCAGTAGATCTATTCTCATTATGTTCTTACAGCCTTACCTAATTATCACATGCAAACCATGGTTATCCCAAAGAAGTTATTGACTGAAGTTGAGAAAGCTAGCAAATCCTTTCTCTGGGGTAGTTCTGAAAATGAGAAGAAAGTTCATTTGGTCTCATGGTATACGGTGAAGAGACATCATGATGAAGGTAGATTGTAGGTCAAAGATATTTTTCACTAAAACCAAGCTTCTATCCTGAAACTTTATTGGAACTTGGTGTGTAATAATAATGCGTTGTGGATTCAAGTCCTAAAATCCAAATACAAATGTCGCTCCAACACCCTACCTTTAGTTTGTAAGAGAAGACAACCCTCTATGACTTGGAAAGGTATCCATAAATTATGGGATACCTTCTTGATGGTATTGATAAGCGCTACATGCCTAGAAGGTTATCTAATTTCTGGTGTGACAATTGGTCTACTATGAATATGGCCTTGGTGAACTTCATTCAAAATAATGACACAACCATAGACCTTAAGATGAATATTGAGCACTTCATCCATGCAGATGGCTCTTGGAATCGCACAAAAATAATGAATTGGCTTCATTACAATGTTGTGAATAGAATCACCGACACTAGACCACCATGTGAGATGGGAGGGAGAGAACAATATGTGTGGAAGCATCCACTGATGACTCTTTTGATATTCATTTTGCCTATAATTTTCTTTCTGCAGGTACCTCACCGGGGAAGGACAAAATCTGGATGAAAATCTGGAAATGGAACATCCTTGAAAAGATCAAAGCTTTCATCTAGTTATTAGGGAAAAATAAATTGCGCATAGCAAGCTTGAGGGAGAAAAGAGGGATTGCTAATACAAATTCCTACCCTTTTGGATGCGGCAAGGAGGAGGATGCAATGCATATTGTTCATGATTGCAGATTAGCCTAGGACATGTGGAGACAAGTAGTGAAAGCTGAGTTTTGGTCTGAATTTTCACAACATGACTGCCTTGAATGGATCAAATAGAACTCAAAGAACTCCCCAAGAAACAACAATACAACCAAACTCTCGTGGGCAACAGTCTTTGCTTATATGTGCTAGGAACTTTGGACAGTGAGATGAAGAAATCTTTTCGATGATCAAGCTCAACTTACTCAACTGGATTCAAACAGAATTTTCCACAAAGCTATGGCTTACTAGAAGTATCTAGGTAAACTGAAATCATCTCAGACTGACAATACTTGTGCTAATACCTGGCATAAACCCTCACAAGGCTTTGTCAAACTTGATGTTGATGGATCTTCTAAACTCAATGGTATAGCTACATGTGGAGGATGCATCACTAATGATAACGGGATTGTAAACTTAAAAGCTATTCATCTACCATTGCTGAAGTCTTGGCTGTTTCTGAAGGCCAAGAAATTTGCTGGTATAATGGCTTCAATATATTGAGGTCTACTCAGATAATGTGGAAGCCATTAACCTCATCACTAGAGGTTACCATGAAAATCATCCATATCATGAGATCATTCAAATGCTTGTAATTTTTTTCCTTAAGAAGTGGTCTTTGTCTATTAACTTTGTCTTTAGAGATGTTATTAGTCATGCTCGTTACTTTGCTAAGAAAGCTCATTTGATGAAAAGCCCTCTTTACATCTTTGATCATTCATCGCCTTATTTTTGGATAGGAGATGAATGATGATTGATTACTCTTTATCTTCTTGTTTGTTTTAGGTTCCTGTACTAAGTTTCTTTTCAGTTTTTGAATAAATTTCAGATTTAGTCAAAAAAAAAATTCATCTTCAAGTTGATATTGTTTTGTCACACTTCATCAGCTACGGGGAGCTAGGAATGAAATGGTCCACAAAGACAATTTCATTGATCCAGTATTAATCTTAATTTCTAGAATATGAAGAATTGCTTCGTTGAATAAATTAGCGTGGGAAGGAAAAAAATTTACTAACAGGCTTCCCTGAAAACACATTACCTACAATATGGATAAGAAAGAGTGACACTTTAATTTTAAATTTAAATATTAAAAAAATAAATCTGTAGATGATTTGTAGAGAAAAATCTGTAGTGAAGTTGGCTTAATACTTATACAAACAAGTCAACAACTGTGGCAAAATTTCACATCTGATTGTGGAAGAGGTATCAAACATCCAGAAGAGATGAATTTAAATGGCAACTTATATATTTGGGATTGTGGTTTCAAGAAAGAAAGGAACGAGACTGGAGATCTCGAGTTTGAACCATGGGTATGATACTGTATTAAATACCCAGTTGAGCGAGTTTACTGTCGTTGTGACCTGTATTAGTTGGGGGTCTAGATTTCTTACTATGGAATGACTTCAAGAAGCAAAAGAGGTGCCTATCATTATCAAGAAGAAAATGTGAAGTTTGCATTCTTGAAATTAAGGATCCATTCAGATATTTACTACAGCGCAATAGGATTCCAAGCGTGGTGGCATTTTGTATTCTGTTCACTCCGAACAAGGAACAGGACAAGATTATACGATTCAAGTTCTCCTAATTGAGGATACCCAGGAAGATGAAGCAAGAACTAAGGAAAGTACAAGTTGACATGGCTTTGCATGGTGGATCCGAAGGAATAAGCTAAACCACTGTTTTATTAACAATATGTGTGTTAAAAAAAAAAAATAATGACAACATAACACTGTTGAAATTTAACTTGTGTTAAAAAAAAAAACGACCAAGGACGTGGCTGCCATAATAATCGTCGTCTTGTTGGGCGCAAGCAGGGGAGGTTGCGCTTATCAAAGAAAACGCAGAGGGGGAAAAACTGAACTCTGTAGGGCTGTTTGAAACCTTGTCTATAACAATTTTCTATTCTTTAAAACAAGAGAATAAAAAAATTTATTTAATAATATATTTTTAAAAAGTATTTTAAAAAATAAAAAAAATTATTCTGAAGAACAGAAAAATAAAAACAACTTTTAGGTATTTTGTAATTATTATTCTGAAGAACAAGCGAGAATAAAAAAACATTTATTTTTATTATTTTTTTATTCTCATAACATGCTTTACAAAACACCAATTCTTAAAATAATAAAATAAAAATAATTTCAAATAGCCCTGTAATCTCTCAAGAGAATCTGCTTGCCAAAGATGATAACGTAACCAAGACATATAAATAAATATATTCTCTGTCAAAAATATAAATTATTTTTTTAAAAAAAGATTGAATGTTAAAAAGTATAAAATATTTTTTGTATTTCAAAGGGTAATCATTATGTTTTTTTTAAGTAACCTTAAAAATAAATTACTTTATATTTATTTTAGAATAAAATATTCTATTAAATATAAATAAATATAAAAAATGATGTTAGTTTGAAGACAAGTAATCACTTTATTGAAAATATGAGTCCATTAATAAAAAATGTCTCATACTTTTTAATGTTGGGAGTATATATTTAGTTGACTTGATGTGATGATAAAAAAAAGCACATAACAAAATCCTCTTTATAACCATCATTTTTAAAAAATTTAGAGCTATTCTCATGGGATGCTTACTAAAGAGCAAAAGTGGTGCTTTCAAGGTTATATAATCCAGAGCTTGTCAAGTACCAACCGAAATAAATTTGGCCTCATGAGATCCCAACCTAATTGAAGAGATTACACATGAAGTAAAACCCATGAACCTTATATGTCTCCCTCTTTTTACGTAGAGATAGCAGCATATCTCTCTTTGAGAGAATAAAGATCCAAACTTCAAAATTTGCTTTTGTCATGATTAGAAGAACTTATTCACAATAAACATACATAACCACAACAAATTGATCCATGTCATACTTCAATTTTAAATATGCTGAGGCACATGGAACAACTTGTACAACAGAATGGACTTTCAGCCGGCTTCGATGATGAAATGATGATGATGATTATTATAAGCAACAATTATATACAACAACAACAACAAGCCTTTATCCCACTAGGTGGGGTCGGCTACATGGATTGCAAGACGCCATTGTGCTCTATCATTTATTAAGCTTTTAGAAATATTATTAATTAAGAGATCACGTTCAACAACTTCCAAGAGTGTTCTCTTAGGCCTTCCTCTACCTCTCTTAATCGGACTCAAAGTTATATGTTCCACTCTTCTCACTGGTGCCTCCCTTGGTCTTCTTTGTACATGCCCAAACCATCTCAACCGATTTTCTACCATTTTTTCCTCAATAGGTGCCACCCTCACTTTTTCACGTATGTGCTCATTTCGAATTTTATCTTTACGTGTATGTCCGCACATCCATCGTAACATTCTCATCTCTGCTACTCCAACTTTATGCTCTTGCTGTCCCGTTAGAGCCCAGCATTCACTACTATATAACATTAAGCAACAATTATATAACTAATAATAATAGTTTACATTGTGCTGTTACTTCCCAATGACTTCCATTGTCAGATACTGAATAAGAATATGCTGATTCCATTCCAATTGTAAGCGTTAGTTGCCTATATTCAACTTTTGTCGCCATTCATTACATATATCCAGTTACTATAGTTCTAAGCATAATCAAAATTGATGGGTTAATAAAGGCATGAAAGCTATATGAATTCAGTCTCTAATTGAAAAACCGTTACTTAATGTATTCTGAAATTTGTTCTGTTTCTGATGTAAGTTTCTTCATCACCTTCATGCAGGGATTAAATAATAGAAAAATCTCAACTTACTTATGATGGCTATGGTAAGCCTCTATTTTCATTTCCGCCATGGATGGAACAAGAATGCTTCTATCATCAATTCTGGAACGATTGCCATTTGAGCTAAACCCAACCTTCTATTTGTCTCTCTTTTTGTCCATGATCGCCATCTTTGTGCTCAAACTCACAAGAACAAGAAGAGACAAATTGAATCTGCCTCCATCCCCACCTAGGTTTCCATTCATCGGCAATCTACATCAGATTGGCACTCTGCCTCATCGTTCTCTCAAAGCTCTCTCACACAAGTATGGCCCTCTCATGCTTCTCCACTTGGGTCAAAAGCCAACTCTGGTGGTTTCTTCTGCACACATGGCCAGAGAAATAACAAAATCCCATGACGCTGTTTTCTCAGACAGGCCTCAAACCACAGCAGCTAAAATCATTCTCTATGGATGCAAGGACTTGGGTTTCTTACCCTACGGTGAAGAATGGAGGCTCAAGAGGAAAATCTGTGTTGTTGAACTTCTCAGCCCTAAAAGGGTTCAATCCTTTCAGTTCGTTGTAAAGGAGGAAGTTGCAGATATGGTGAACAAGATTTGGGAAGCATGTGCAGATCGTAATGATAATAATGGGTCTTGCGTGAATATGTCTGATATGATTGTTGCAGCTTCAAACAACATAGTTTGCAGATGTCTTGTTGGACAGAAGTTCCATTCAGCAGATGGGAAAAGAAGCTTTGGAGACTTGGCGACACAAATTAGTGCTCAAACTGTGGCATTCAGTTTTGGGGACTTTTTCCCTTGGTTGAGATGGATTGATGTTGTTACTGGATTAATTTCAAAGATGAATGCTACGTTTAGAGAAGTCGATGCTTTCTTCGATGAGGTGATTGCCCAACATAAGAAAGAACATGGTGGCAAATCGGAAAAGAAAGACTTCATTGATATTCTTCACCATCTTCAAGAACATGGTCAGCTTGACATGGAGCTTTCCCAATTTGACCTTAAAGCAATGATAGTGGTATGATCTATCTTTCCGTGAATTGAATCCTCCGTATTCATACAAAACAATATAATACTTTTTCAGAAAATCTTCATTTTCACAATTGCAGGATTTGTTCCTGGGAGGAAGTGACCCAACGGCAACAGCTCTGGAATGGGCATTTGCTGAGCTCATGAGGAATCCAGGAACAATGAAGAAAGCCCAGGAAGAGGTAAGAAGAGTGGTGGGAAATAAATCAAAAGTGGAAGAAAATGATGTAAGACAGATGAAGTATTTGGGATGTGTACTCAAAGAAACTTTAAGATTACATCCTCCTGTTCCTCTTTTGATCCCAAGAGCAACAAGATCGAGTGTGACACTGGGAGGATACCATGTTCCTGCAAAAACAAGTGTATTTGTGAATGCATGGGCGATTCAGAGGGACCCAGAATTCTGGGAAAGACCAGAAGAGTTTGTTCCAGAGAGATTTGAGAATGGCCAGGTTGATTTCAGAGGGCAAGACTTCGAATTTATTCCGTTCGGAAGCGGGAGAAGGGGATGCCCAGGAGTTTCATTTGGGTTTGCATCACTTGAGTTTGCATTGGCTAATCTTCTGCATTGGTTTGATTGGAAGATTCCTGAAACATGTAAATCTGGTCCAGACATGGACATGAGTGAGGCATATGGAATTACTTGCAGAAAGAAAGTACCCATTTGCGTTCAACCGATGCTACACTCCGTTTGATCTAAGTTTTGAACGTCCAGTTCATGATTTATCTTTCCAGTATGTGGTTTCAATTAACATTTTAAATAAAAACTTCTTGTAAATTGTGCTTGTATTAATGTTTTCAACTAGGTATGCTCTGTTGAAGCTTGAATTGCGGTTGGCATTGAATGTTGGAGTTCATGTTTAAGGATTGCATAGTTGTAAAAATGCTGTATTTTTCAAAGTTCACACGCTGAGGAGATTTCATGCTATTCTGACTATTGAGGACCTCACTCGTGTTGAGAAAGATGAGGGAGCATTTTGAGATCTCTGTACAGAAGATTCTTTTTTTTTATTTCAGGGGCATTAATGGGAAGGGACAGGATTAGGATAGCCATTTCCTGTATCTCATATAACTTTGTCTCATCCCAAAAGTTATTCCATCATGTTTGGAACTAGAATGAAATAAGGACATTCTGCAAATAAAAAGTGAAAGAAAGATCTAAATAACATTTATTAAATTATATAACTTATTAATTCCAAAACCAAAACAATACAAATATATAAATTTAATCATTAAATTACATCAACTACAATGTAAAGTAAAAAATCACCATCACAACTTAAAGTTAGGTACACACCAACCACAAATAACCTCCAGGCAATGAGTACAATAACAACAAAATCATTAATAAATTATTCAATTTAAATAAACTAGTCAAGTACAATATCAAATCATTGGTTATTCTTTAGTTGAGATATTTGAAATTATTACATATTAATAAAAAAAATGTATGTATATCATTAACAAAATATATATATACTAAATGCATAAACTATTACATATTAATAAAAGAAAAATAATAATAACATGTATATTGTACATGGAATAAATAAATAACATGTGTATTATATTCGGGATGGGATGCCTCAAGAGTGATCTCATGTCTTGTCTCATCCCAAATCCCTTTTTTTTTTCTCATCCTACAAATTCCTATCTCATTTTTCTAAAGATAGGATGGACCCATCTTAACATGATTAGTAGAGTTAATAATTCGAGTCAAGCTCGATAAACCAACCCTAACTTGTTCAAAAAAAGTTAGGGTTAGGTTTGACTATATAATTTTTTTTAAAGAGAGTAAGCTTTTTTAAATCCAATCCGAATAAGTTTGACTCAAATTAAACTTGACCCAAATAAGCTCGACTGCTAGAATTTTTAACTTTATATGAATGTAAAGTTAATAATTTTGGCCAAGCCCGACAGGCCAACCTGAACCCAACCCAAAAAAGTTAAAATTGAGCTGAGCTGTATGAGCTTTTTTAAAAGGATAGGATACATTCTTAATCCGAATAACTCGGCCCAAATTGAGCCAGATTTGAATAAACTCGACTCGCTCGAATTACCAACAATAATGATTAGGATGAAGCTAGGCCAATTGAGCAAGACAAGCATGAACATTGCTACTTTATTTCATGGTAGCATATAAAAAGGGATTAAGCTAATGGTCTTATATTCTAATCACTTAGGAACTGTTTGAAATTATTTATTTTATTGTTCTAAAAACTGGTGTTCTATAGAACATGTTCTGAGAGCAAAAAAAATAATAAAAATAAGTGTTTTTCTCATTCTTTCTTATTTTTCAGAACAATAATCATAGAACACCTAAAAGTTGTTTTCATTCTGTTCTTCATAACAATATTTTATTTTTTTATTCTCCAAAATACTTTTTAAAAACACGTTACCAAACGAATTTTTTTGTTGTTTTATTCTAGAGAACAGAAAATTATTTTCAAAATAAGTTTTCAAATAGACCCTTAATGTTTCTTGAAATATCAAACCGTTTTAGACCAACATTGTTCTTTAAACCATACGTATGTGCATGAACACACACAGACACAGGCACACACATCACACGTCACCCATGAATATGTAAAACCTACGATGACCTCCTTAAACAACCCCCAGGGACAAAAAACATATCAGCCTAGGAATTGAAATGAAGTATAAAAATGCCGCCAGGGATAAACTGAGAAAGCAAATTCCGTTCATGTATGTTTTGAACTTGAATACTTTGGTTATCCAATCATGTCCCAATCTTGCTAAAACTCAATTTTTTTCCTTAAAGTCACAGGTCATTAAGTAAAGTTTGAAGCTTAACCAGTAAAACAACAAAACATTGTAGGAAGATATAAAAATTATCATTTAACCTACATAATTTATATTAATTTTCAATTTACTTGTCATAATTTATTTTCCCATTTGCAAAACAATGACCATAATGACTAAATATCAGTATCCTTCATCCTAGCTGCGTGATATAAAACCGTTAAACTTCATCGCCTTTGAGACAAACGCCCAACAAAAAGTGAGTGCCCTATAATCATACGAGGGCAGAAGCAGGGGAGCAAGGGCTGATACTTCAAAACGCAGAGAGAAGCATGATGGTTCATAACGCTGAAACAGAGGCATCATCATGTATTATTTCTCCTGTGAAAACGCAGATGCAAGCAGTGGTGTTCAGGTCTCGGTATCATACTCTTCCTTTATAAAGGACCATACTCTCACTCAGTTTCCGTCGCCCATAGCACTCCTCTTCAGCTGAGAATTCAAACTACTATTGCTCATGATATTGGTCAGGAGGGGGGATATGAGAATATAGGGCTACAATGCTGGATAGGGCTATCAAAAATGTCTGATTAAACAAAATTAAATCTCCTAAATATTTCATCATGATAGCTTGGTATTCTTTGTCCTATTCTGGATTCTGGAATCATCATCAAGTATGTGTCGTTGTGTCAAAATTGCGAGGAAACGCCTACAGGCTTGCCTCGAGGTTAAAAATATCAGCGGGTTGAGCATAAAGTTGTTCTGATGTGCACTTTGTACTAGGTGCCAGCAATCTCTCCCCATTAATCGGATCTATCCACAATCCACATGCTCCTCTGGCATATAAAATGTCATCTTTGGGTAGCAGAGTACTTACAGTAACTCAGATGCAGCAAAATTTTCACCCTTCTAAATTAATCTGCATGTAGATGTTTCTTCCTCCTTTGGCAGCGACTGACATACCAAGCAGCGTGTTTTCGTAGGCCTATGCCAATTAGAACCTTGAGACTTGCGAGCATAACATAGGTCACTGCTGAAAAGAGAACCACCCAGAAAAGACTCCACGGAAGAGGATAGTACGGAAAGTGAGCAGCATATACTGGAGTCAACACTCGAATGACCTGAGAGTAAGTATACAGATGTAGAATCAGCAGGCAAAAAGAAAAATCAACTTTTAAAACCATCAGTGCTCACCACGCAAGCTGGAGCAAGAGGAACAAAAGTCAGATGTTTCTTTGCACCCTCGGTTTGCACATTCAGAGTCTAGAAAATTGAAACAGTAGAAATATATTCATAAGAAAAGCTCGACTGGAAAAACAGCATGAAGTGTTATAGCAATGTGACAATAAATAAATCAATCAACTTAAAGCTTCGAAGTAGTTAATCATTCTATATATTTATATAAAAAACAAGTTTAATTACGAAGTCCGAACACATTAATAATGGGCTTTCCAAGCGTAGGCTAGTATTGTCATCTTGCTAGCTGATAACCCTCCAAACCCACTTGCACATTATAAGGGGAACTAAAACGTCCAATGAGATAAAATTACATAGGCAGATAAATTAGATAAATAGTAACAAAACTGAGGGAATTAATAAATTCATAAGAAAAATGACACAGTTTAAGTAATATGAAGGAATTGAACCATGTTGCTGTTTTCCCCAGTTCACAACCATGATATCCAAATAAGAAATAGATGGAAAGCAAAATTGCATCTGACGCCCTTCCAATCATGACCCATTGAAGCAAAGTTTTTCAAAAACGAATTTGTTTTTAAATCTTGTGTCATGATACATTTTGGCTTGATGCTCATGAATCCAATGAAGTTTTCAGCTCAGAATAGTCATTTGTATAAATACACAGCAATCATCACTGAGGTTTCCAGGCTGCTGTTTATAGTTTATAAAGTTTTGAAGCAATAATCAACCGACCATAAACTGTGTGGTTGGTGCCCACAAGAAATCAGATGAAGAATACCTGTTTGCAAAGGTCTTCAAGGAACTCAGAATATGCGCTGGGCTTAATGTTATTGAATTTGGCAATGAATGAGTGCTTGATAACATCAATAGCTATTTCACATGAATAAACCAAGCCAACATCCTGCATCATCCAAAATATCCATTTTAGAAGCAAATCTGGGCCAAGCAAAGAAATTGGTCGGAACAAAATAAATTTCTTCAATAACTATTTGGTGCTAAATTTTTCCAAGTAATCTTACAAGGAGAAAATTTTTAAACCAGGGGCCCTCTGCTTCCAGAATATTTTGAGCCAGAACGAATAAGATAAATGCTGAAATATGGAACCTCTCCACAGAATCTGCTTCACAGAAATGATTATAGAAAGAAAGAAAGGAGGGAAAAAAAAAACAAAAAGAGAACCTGAGACCAAGAACCCCCCCCCATTTGTGAAAAAAACATCATTAGCAGAACAGCAATCATATCAATCTCTTCCTTACTTAAATCATTAAGTGAAATAGATAAAGGTGAATTTCTTAGCCTCTTCCTCAGCAGAAGGTGAGCAGCACAGGAGGATTACTAAGATTTACAATTATACTTGATAAGTCATCATGAATTGAAAATTTAAATTTAAAGGAAAAGGCTTGCTCCTGATCCTACTCATGTAGAACATGGGTATGGGGGAAAAGGTTAGATAGGTCGGCCACATAATCAAAACTAAAGATCAGCCGAGTTTAAAATTCAGGACATCAAATAATTATTTACTTGGTTGATATAATTATAAGGCACATAATCTCAACAAAATGAGTAGATATTCATGTTGAGAACAAGTAAAAGCCCAGCAGAAGGGTAGATATTCAAAAGTAATGTTTGTTTGAAAAACATTTGATCCTCAGTACAGTGATAAAAGTGGCATGGAAAAATGTTTGCAAACAGCTGCTGGAATTGAGTCAAACACATCCTCAAAATGGCAGAGAGAAAAATTATAAAGTAATGTCGCAGACAAAACTCACCAAAGTACACCAAACTATGAACATTATCCCTACTATATCGCTTGAACACATTGCTCTTGATCTCAGCAAAGTTATTTGACACCAGCAGCGCAAGCAATGCATTGTTGTGAGCAACAATACAGGTTGATAAAGTGATTGCCTGAACTAATAAGATAAAAGAATGAATGAGTACAACCAGTCAAGGAACCAAATCGGCCTTTGCTTCTTTTCTCTTGTGCCTTCACTCAAGAAAATAAATACCCAAACTACTTGCAAAGAAAATTATTATCCCAAAAATAAAGGATATTTGAAGCAGCCACAGCTAAAGACTGATCAGCAATATATCTCCATATCCAGAATCTCGTACTGTCTGACGTAGAAGTTGCAAGTCCTTCGGCTGAATGAAATAAGGCTTGCAATACATCCCCGTTAAAACTTTGACATAGTTTATCAAATATCTGCAAGAATAATTAAGGATCAGTCACAGCAGCCCAGCAATTAGGCAAGGATCAAGAAGTTATTATTCTGCATCAACCAGTTTCTTCAGTCTATTCTGCTCACCTCTAACACATTATAGACCACATATAATTTGATTGTTCCTTGACCACGGATCATATGATAAATCAAGCTGATATCTGAGGCAACAAAAGTGCAAGGGGGGAACACAAATCAAAATCAGTATACCAAATTCTTCTCAATAGTAAAAATGAAAATATATTAATATAACATATGACATCAAACTATAGCAGTACCTATTCGCTCCAAAAGAATGACTCCACAAGCCATAATTACAAAACACCCAAAATCTGACAACTCAATTGCAGACAGACTCTTGAACTGCCTGCCAAAAGCATGATCAGGTCAAATTGCAAGTTCTAAAATCATGACAAACTATCAATTTCATAAAAAAGAATTCTACCACAGTAAGAATCAGGAACGTGACCAGTATAAACATAAAAAAATCCAATCCTATAACATTTGGAATTTTCTTATTGAATCAATTGCATACTGAGGTCATACAATTAAATCAAAATCACCTTGCTTTCTATCTCTTCAAACGTTTTCTGACATGTAGCATTAGCAAGTATATACTAAATCTATACGGCTTATATCACAATTCCAATAACATACATTGTAAGTTGAGCCCATTAATTAAATCCTCATAGGCATGCCTAACAACACTTAAGTACAAAGAAATGGTATCAAGAAACGGTGGCAAACCTTGTTTTTAGAAGCCTCCATATGGTCATCATTATCCTTGTTGGCATGATGGTTAAGAGTGACAGAAACGAATCAAAGCAGACAAAGAAACCAACATTTATAAGCTGCAAATATATTCCATGTTTTAGATACCATAATGTAGAATGTACGTGTATAAATGAAGATATGTGACCACAGATTAACTATTGGCCAATAAATGTGGAAAGTTTGAGGTTTCAGATAACTTTCTTTCCCTGCAACTTTTAAATTTGATAATTATTGGGACGAGTACAGGCACCTAAATACCACAGTGAAAGTCCTAAGATTACACCATAGAGCTCCAAACAGATTTCCAGCCTTTTTAAGTGTGAAAGCAAAAGCATACCAATTCACATCTCCATGGTAAGCGGAAGATGGTGTCATAAACTCTTTCTCGTTCTTTCTCATTACCAAGGGTTGTTGTGCTCCGGAGAGAATTTCCATTGTACATTTCCTCCATGAAGCATTTTACTGGTGATTTATCCACTGAAAACATGTCTAGCATCAAAATGTATCAACACAAGGTTAGTTAATAGGATAGAAGAAATGGTTTTACTAAGACACCAACTTCATGGAAAGAAACGCAGTCAACAAAGAACTAAATATGATTAGAACCATTCAGACCATATACTACTTTTGAACTATTAATGAACAGCTAAAGCATGGCAAAGGATACAATTCTCATGGGAATTGCCCCATAACTTCCACTCTCATTCACTGATATGCAAGCATGGAGTCCAAAAACCATATCGAACTATCAGAAATAAATCAAGTCAATGGTTTCCTACATCTTCTACGACAAAGAGCTATGTGTTATTTCCATGTCTAATACAAAGGCTACATGGCATCACTATGGGGCATGGGACAAAAATGCTTTCCCTTTCCCAACCCATACCTCTTGAAGTTGATGTATGATCCAGTCGTGACATAAAATGACCTGTGTTAATTACAAATGAATCAAGCAATATATTGTGCGAGATAGGGACCTGAATAGATGAGAAGTACAAGTATCTAGATTCAGTAATGATGAATGAACAACATCTTACAGCAGATTTCAATGAATTGATCAGAAAAATGTGACCTAGAAGAAGAGGAAAAAGACACAAATTTTTCAAACAAATATCATGAAACCTTCTGAGAATCATATTAAAGAGCGTGAGATACATGCAGGAGGGACCCATTCACTCACTATTCGGATCTTGCGCCATAAGACGATTCCAATCCAATGATACTGCTGTCTCTAATTGTGAAACAACATTCCCATGTGGCCCATTCCTCTGCTTCTCCACCGAACTGGCCTTCGCGCCACTATCGTCCTTGTCATTACCATCAACACTTGAAGGCCCCAAGTCCTCACAATTACTACCATTGACAGTTCTGAGCCTTAATTCACCAAAATTAAACCCCTCCCCACCACGCACGCTCTGGAACTCAGTCTCTGCCACCCGTGCGACTGTACAAACACTCGTCTTACTCTCTTCCGCTGCACTTATCTCCTCGCAGTTAACAGTCCCAACTGTATAGTATCCCCGTCTGCCAAGCTCAAACCCGTTTACGCCACAAGCTGCTCCGTTGTTTAATAACACTTCGCCGTTCGCCGATGACGAATGTAGATCTCTGGAATCAGAGGAAACTGAATTTGAATTAACAGTTTGTTGCTCAGCGATCGGATCTTCTGGTATCGAGGGCTCAACAAGCTTCTTCTTCCTCGAGCTTTTGTGCTTACGCTTCTTCCGGTTAGACTTGTTGGGAGAAACTGAATGAGCAGGCTGTGATTGTTCTGCTGTACTGACGTTGATTCGACTTGGACTCGATTTGGATCGATAGAGACCGGAGTCATCTTCTTCATGGGAGCTGTCATCGCTGAGAATCTCAAAAGAGAGCTTTCTGCCGGCAGATCGCACCGCCATGCGAAGGAAACCTCAGCCGCAAATCAAACAAGCTTTGAAGCAAATGATGGAATTTGTATGAAAATTCAGATTTACATCAAAGAGGGAAGAAGAAGGTGAATGATGCTTGGGAGTTTCTGAATTGTGTGACACTCTTCTTCCACATAATGCAGTCCAGCCGGACTCGTCTCATTCGCGCTTCGTCCCTCCCCTTATTCCATTCTCCTTCGCTTTACTCTGTTTCCTCCCCCGGTATATATTTTTGTTCATTATTAATGTAGTAATGAATAATTAAATAATGTAATCTGCAAAATTAATTTAATTTTAAAAATAAAAACTAAGTAATTAACCTTGAAAATTAGTTATCTCTGTGAGATTAATTAGTTCTTTTATTGATTATTTTAATTTTAATCATTTTGAAAAAAATAATGTAATATAAATTGATTATTTTATAAAAGGATTAATACAGTTTCAATTGTAAATTAAAAATTAATTAATTTGAAATTTTATGATGACAATTAATTAATTAATTTAATTATTTTATAAAAATATTCATGCAGTTTCAATTAATTACTTCAATTGCTATGAATCAGAGAGAGTGTTCTCAACCTAAATTAAATTGGTGGCAAAACTCTGAATTTAATTTTTATTTATTATTTATATATAAAGTGTTGATAAAAAAAAATTATGTGTGTATACTGTACAAAGTCTTTCTTTTTTTTAATTATTTATAGGTGTCTTTTGAAAAAATACATTACAAACAATTCTTCCTCATCTATATTATCTATAAATTTAAATGAGTCCTTCTCAAATTTAAAATACACACACACATATATATATATATAAAAGAAAAAAAATTATAAATGCACCCTTATAATAAAGTTGCATTTTTTATTATAAATAGGTCCCTGCACTTTAAAATAATCGAATCACCTTCTATATTTATTATTGTTTGGCTAATTAATCCTTACTTTATGAATCAAAGTATGACATAATGCGCTACAACCTTTGTAATTATTTTCTTTTCCAAAAACATGAAATATCATTCAAAATTGAAGTGTTTATAAAGACAAATCAAATATCACAAACAAAATACAAATAAAAGAAACAACACAATAATAAAAAACCATCAATGTAATGCAAAACGATATGAAGAAATAAAAAAACATGATACCACTAAGACCATTATGACAGTCTTGTCCTTATATAACCAATGACTACTATTCAAATAATAAATTTACCATATATCCTCACATTAGATTCTATGTAAAGAAAACCAAAATTATTAACAACAACAGCAAACCAGCTATTAGCGTTATATAAAAAAAAAACATCATCATCTCTACTGCAAACTACACCATAATGAATTGAAAAGCCTAACTCGAGACTCTAACAACAAACTCAAATTATCAAGATCCATACTAAAAAACCTTATACCTCTTAGCTTGTTATAAGAGGTAGCAAAACTCATAATTAACTATTGCACAAATCATCATTCATTTTAATAGACAATTTCTACCTCACCAATGCCAATCGAATCCTCAATCCCTTCTCAATCACTCGTAGAAGGAAGAAACAACTCACACCAACAAAAGGAGACAAAAAATCACCAACATCATATGTCTGTCTCACAAAAGAAGCTGGCAAGAGAGGCGCTAGAGAATAAAAATCACATAAAAGATTGTCATCGATGGAGAGAAAAAGGCTCTCACAAGGAAATTTTAGGAGAGGAAAAATTATGTGTTACAGTTTGTTTAATATACCCCTGTAATTATCAATCAACCTCGTGGTGGATGAGATAACCAAAATTGTGTTTAGTCTCCAGGAAACCTTGTGGAGGCACCATCAACTCCAAGTAATTTGACATTGTTCGTTACCTACAAAAAACCAAATGAAATCCCAGGCTTGGTGTTTAAAAAAAAAAAATCGAAATCCGACAACTTCTCGCATTTCTAATTGAAATTAATGTGTTTTGTAATTGCTTGTAGTGATGATTTGAGAAGATAGTAAGATGAAATGAAATTTATTTTGAAGCACAAAACCATGGTTCTCATTTTCATCTAGTTTTAGAGTGCGTTTGGATTAGTGTTTAAAAAAACTGAAATCTTCACAATCTTTAAAAGGTGAAGTTGGAGTATAAAAGTCAGTCGCTGTGATATAATTCATGTTCAGGTATAGATTAACCATAAATGCAAGTAGAAGTTGTTTCTCATTCTAGTGTCGGTGAGGCCTCAAACCGTGGTTTTCTATAAACATGAAAAATTGAAAAAATTAGTGGAACCAGCACTTCAGACTCTAACCCAGTCCAGACAAAGTAGATAGTTCATGTGACAAGTGAGTGCATACATATGCAGCTGTTGCCTTGCAATTATTACAAAGGGAACACATGCCATCAATATACGCCTCTCGATATGATATTTCTTTATTAAAAAAAAAAGGATTGGCTTGGAGAATGTTCTTGCAAGCTCGCGCGCCACATTCCTTTTTTTTCTTATTTTTTTAAAAGTTTGTTAAGTCCAACTCGTAGCATTACTCTTCCATTGGATGCTTTCTCTCTGAATTTAAGATTTCTTTCCAATGCCAACTAAGCCTAGTTTCTTGTAGTCTACGACAATGCTTCACAATAAAGACAAACTCACAAGTCCCTTTGGGCCATACTTGGTAGGGAGGATGAAGTGTTTGGGGATTGGAATTGAAAATAAAAATAGAAATAGGGTTGAGAGTAGGAATAAGATTTAAAAATCACGTTTGGTATATATAGAAATACGTAAATTGAAAGTATTTAATATATGTAATTATAATTTCAATTGACCATAATACCCTTTGCCCAGAAAAATGAATTCCCCTCATGCACGATGGAACACATTGGATAGAGAAATTGTGATGCTGAAGATTTGAAAGACGAAGGCAGAGACAGGCCTAGAAAACTGGAATACATCAAAGATCTAGAAGATGACGGCACATCCACGTCAGCAAATATCGAATGCAGAGCCTGGCCAAAACAATACTGCACGACCTCAAATAATAACGAAAGGGGCCATCGATCAATGCCATTAATGGTTAAGACTTGATATTACTTTTTGCCATCGATAGATTAATGGTTCTCCTTACTTCCCTCATAGATTGAATCTGCAGCTCCTTTGATTCTCCCTCGCTTCTTTGTCTACTCAATGGTTCTTTGTCATCGATGGGTCTTTGTCATTGACTCATTGTCATTAAGAAGAAAGGAAGAAGGTAGATATAGATGAAGAAAGAACGATGGAGGTAGATTTGGATTTCTGGACAAAGAAGGGGAAAGGATGGAGGCAAGGATATCTCTCCCTTACTAAAATCAATCCCATATCATTTTTTCAATGCTAGGGGCATCGGTATTAAGTAATTCATGTAAATGGGTTTGGATTGATCAATCACTCATACCAAATATGATAAAGTTGGATAAGCCCAATCCCAACCTCTCATTGCCTCACACTGAACCAGAGACTTTTGTGTGTATGTGTTAATTTATACAGAGTATGTTACCCATAAGCTTCCCATTACCCACACACATATCAACTCATTTCATGGTTCATTAAAAGTTAATTGTTAATTTTTCTTTTTTTATCTGTAACAGAAACTCAAACTTGCATCAAAGCATGCTGGCTTCAGTACACACTGCACAGAGTGGCATAAAATGGAAATTTTGCAAGTAATCACATCCTGAGCTGCGTACATGTGCATGCAGGTTTTCAAATTATGTGTTAGATTTTCGCTGACTTCGCTGTACATCCTACTAAAATCTTAATTAATTCGTGTAGATTGTAGTGTGAAATATTGCAGTATAAATATAAATTGAATATATTCGATTTAATTTTAAGTCATGCTATTCAAACTGGAGCAGGAATGTGCTCCCTACTAGGACCACAGAATGAGTCAATGAGGCATAAGAAAGCGCAATGAGATTCATTGGGAAGTGTGAGGCCCAAATCTCATACAGTGGGGAAGAATATGAGCACTGGCCCCAGCATCGCCCCCAATATTATATGCCTTTTTATTTCTTTCCTATTTTTTAATAAAAAAGTACAACTTAACTGTTAAATCCCATAATATCAGTAAACTTTAATAGAAAGGGGCACGTTGCAATGTTTTTAAATGTAATTGTAAAATTATATCAAAAACTTTTGAGAGTCTCAAATACTCTGGACACTATAATTTAAGTATAAACTTACTCTTTTATTTTATTTTTTTTGCCAAAATCCTCTCTGTTTTTTTTTTTTGGGTCGGGTAAGACTGATCCAAGCCTAGACACCTATTCAAATACGAAATTTTTTGGTGAAGCATCCAAAGGTCTTCTTCTTTTTTCTCTTGGGCCAGCACATTTTAGATTCTAACTTATCCAAAATTCATCGCATTCTATTATTCTTCATTTTTCCCTCAATAATGTGCTTTTTTTCATCAATATAATGGTATAATTCTTTTTAAATATTCTAGTCTATCTGAAGAATCAATAAGGGCAAATAAATAGGTAAATAGCAACAAGTAAATATTAGTAAATTTTTAAGTGGTTTTAGTAAAATGATAAGTTTACGAGCTTTTGATATAGACATTAGGTTTCTATCAAAAAAAAGTACTCCCTTCGTTCAAAAATATAAAAAAAATTTTAAGGAGTTGGATGTTAAAAAATATAAGATATTTTTAATTTTTTAAAGTATAATCATTGCCTTTTTTTTCAAAAGTACATCTATTAATAATGACTTTATATTTATTATAGACTGTTTAATAAGGATAAATATAAAAAAATAGAGTTAATTAAAAAGTAGGTAACTACTTTATTGAGGGGTGAGATTTAGTTAAAAATGCTTTACATTTTTAAACGGAATGAGTAGATATTAGGTTATAATGACACATTTTGCATATTAAAATATGTTGACAAGTACAACTTAGTAATTTAATAAGTAAATATTAAAAAATAATTAGTTGAGTTAAGGTTTTTACAAGTAAATGATTTGAAAGTTAAAAAAAATTAAGTTGACAATATATATTGAATTGTACATTATATAATTAAGGTGTCATGGTAGTTTGGTGGCTTTATAATTTTTCAGTTGCCAAGGAGTTCTGGGTTTAAAGCCCTAGCCACTTAGATTATTTAATTGGTCACTGGAGTGGGTTTTTAATTTAAAAAACCAGTAATATTATAATAATTTTTTATGTAAAATTATTTTCAAATTAATCATTTGATTTTGTAGTGACATATCAAAATTGTTGGGTTATTTTAAATTTATTAAAATCCTCCAGTGTTCCTTGAATAAGATTTTCCCATTTTCCCCCCAGCTGGGTGAGTTCACCATTCTCTCGTTAACTTTGACAAGATAATAAAACCCAGACAGTTTGATCCGAAATCTATATACATTGCATCTAAAATAAAAAATACACGAATCTTCTTTTTTTTTTTACGTCTCTATTACTACCGGTCAACCAATAAAACTGTCAAAAATTTATTGATTTAGCTCCTTTTTAAACTAAAATGTTATTTATTTACAAAAATATTTATTTGGCGATATGCTCAACATTTTTATTAAATTTTTAACTTTCGATTGGACACAAGTTACATATACGATGAGCAAGGAATTTGGTGCTTTGTAGTTAGATAAATTAAAGCAAACAAATTAGAGGTTTCAAGCTTAAATTTGCATTTGGATTAGTCAAATGTCACTAAAATCGACCACTGAATTGATCAAAGTATCGGTTCATGGTTCAAATTTTGAACTATAGTGAGACCATTTATGATTAAATTAATATATTTTAATAGTATATACTAAAAATTATAGTTAAATTGATAAATTCAAAAAAAATAGAAAATTAAAAAATATACAAGATAAATGTCAATGCGTGTATATGTGCATATTATGCACACATCTCCGTCATATTATTCTCAACACGGGCAAAAAAAAACAACAAAATTCAAAAAGAAGAAAAAGGCAAAGGTGAAAAAAAAGGAACACAATAATTAACTAATTAAGGAGAATTTTCATCCATTCATAAAACTCACCAACCCCCACTCTATTCCCTTCTTATTATTACATATTTCTTGTGTTTCTCATTAGGTTTGTGGAAAAAAGTTGAAATTCAAAGTGGAACACGACTGGAGCTTGGAAGATAGGCATGAACATGAGCAGTTAAGCGTGACTGTGAGTCTTTGACAGTATGATGACATCGATGAGGAACAAAAGAGTGCAATTAGATTAAGGAAGGCGATTGATGGTTGAACTGGAGCAGGAAGAGGTTAAGGGTTTTGATTCAACTGCAAGAGTTTTAGGTTTTAGATTTTAGAATTCGTGCGTTTCCCTTTTATGCCTTGGTCTCTCGATAATTTTCTTAATGCTTTGTTAAGGGAGTGAAGAGAGAATTGTTTGGACTGTTGGTTTTCCTAGTTCTGTCTGGTTCACTTTCGGTCTAGGTGGTTTGTTGGTGGTTCTTTTATCCCTAGTTTTGTGTCACTTTCAAGTCGGTTCCAGGTTAAACCAGTTGAACTGGCCGGTTCGATCTGATTCTAATAACAGTGATCAAGATTGAGCATCCAACATATCTTTGAGCTAAAGTGGAAACAAGCAAAATTCAAGTCCTTAGTGTAGATAAAAAAGAATGTAAATAAGGTAGTGAATGGAAAAAGAAATTTTTTTTAAATGCTTGGTCTGTGAGGAAAGAGAGTAATAAGGCTGAATTTATTGAAAAGAATTAGTATTTTATAATATAATAAATTAGGGTTCAAATTCTTATAAAAAAAAATACTTGTATTTAATGTCTGGTTATGTTTTAAATATGATTATAAATGAAGGTTCAAATACTAATTAAAAAAATACTTATCTCAATGTCCAGTTATATTTTGAGCATGATGTATTTTAGAGAAAATATCATTGTAGTCTCTATACTTTTAGCCTTATTTAGTATTAATCCTTATATTCTGTTTTCATTACTTCAAATCCTTTAAGTTTCATTTGTCTACAATATTAGTCCATATCATTATTGACAAAATTAAATATGTTGATGTGCATATAATTATATTAATACTATTGCTGAATTGGTAAAATTATAATGTGTTAGGCATTATACATTTATATAAGTAAAATTTTCACTAATCATTTTGACTGTCGCCTTAATTGATGCGCCTTCTTTCTTTCGAAGCCTCATCCATGGTATGTTTAAGAATTCTAAATTAATGTCCAACTTTTTTTTTCCTTCTCCTTATTTTCTATACAAATTATCACACCTTTAACAAGCCATTGTTAAATTCTTGTGAAAATATACATTTAAACTTAACCACACTGATCATATATATATATAAAATAAACGAACACTGTATTGTTTATGTTTAGACCTTATCCAGTTCTTTACAAATATTGTGTTGTACATACACTTGATAAATTTATAAATTATTATTCAACTTAACCATTCAAACTTTGCATAATAAACATATATTGTGTTATTCTTGTATGTACTTTGTTATGTTCTTCATGAACATTATGTTGTTTATACACTTGAAAAAATTTATACATTATTATTCAATTTAACCATACGGATTATGTATAATAAATAAATATTGTATTGTTCACATATGAATCTTGTAATATTTTTTATGGGTATTGGGTTGTGTATATATACACCTACAAATTTTGTACATTTGAGGCAAATGTATTTTTTTATGAAGAAATATATTTGCATTTAACATTTTTGGGTTTATGGAAATAATTCACAATATATTAAATCTTAGGTGCGATTTTTTATTCAAAGAGCCTTAGATATTTTTCTCCCTCATATTTTCAATCGATTTTCAACGTATATAAATACGCGGGTGTAGTGAGGGGAAGAAGAAGAGAGAAGTAATCAAAGATGCTCTGAAGCCACCTAACTTGGGGGCTGACAAAGTAAAATGGTACACTTGCATTGGGGGGAGCCGAATGAGGCCCCGAATCAGAAGGAGTGACTGAGCCTGAAAGAGAAACTGATGAAAAAGTGCAAAAAGGGGAAGCACTTGAAGGGCCAACCCCAACGATTCCACGGCAGGTCGCTTCTGACCCATAACTCTCGACTTCGCAGCACTTGGAATGCGGGGCCCACACCAATTGTTATTATAGAATATCTTTAATATAGATTTATTTAATTTAACTTTTTTAATCAATTTACCTTACCCCCCTCTCGGTCACACCAACTATTTTGCTCCCCCACTTGACTGACTGCCACCTGCTTTGATCCTTCCCAGCCCTTCCGCCCCCCCCTCTAAAAAATATTATATATATTTCTCGTAGAAAATAATACTACAAGTAGATTGGAGACTGACTTAATAAAAGTGATTTGTCGTGATTTAAGATCAATATAATTAAATTATAATTAAAGCAAGAAAGAGTCCGGAATTGAGAAAGATAATCTTTGAGTTGGAATCAATTCAAAGGGATGACGGAAATAACATCAACAATTGCATGTTTCATGTATATATGAATTTAAAAATAAAAAATAAAAAACTCTTCTTGCATGTGACTCTGTTTTAACTTTTTTATCTTTCGGTGTATATCCCTGTTACTCATACCAAGTTGGTCCCTTTTCCCCATTTTCTCCCATGTTTCAAAAGCTTATCAATATTATTAGTGCATCAATATCGGTATCCATGTATCCATATAATGTATTTGTGTGGGTCTTCTGTGTGTGTAAAGTTTCAAAATTAGTTGCATAACTCTTGAATTCTTGATTAAATACAGCATCTCGCTGCACTTTTATGGTTCATATTTTTATTACCGAAATTTGGTATTAAAAATTACCCCTTCCATTCAATATCATAAAACCTTTTTTTTTAAATATTATGTTAAAAAATATAAGGCATCTTGAGATTTTTAAAGTATAATAATTTTTAAAAATATTTTTAATTAGAAATGTAATTAATAAAATTTTTAATTGAGATACTATATTTAATAAGGTTAAAAAAAAGTAAGAAATTTTAAAAATATTAACTAATCACTCCTTTAAAACTATAAGCCATTTTTTCTACATAAGATATGAAAAATATAAAGTAATATGGGTCTTTAAAGGTGCAGTTAATATTTCTTTTAAATACTCTAATTAAAATGGTATGAATAATAGTTTTTAATTGAAATACCCTATTAAATAATTTTAAAAAATATATATTAAAGATAATTAATTAATTTATTGAAGTATAAAATTAGTTTTAAGATACTTTATAATATTAAAGGAGTGAATGTGTCATTGGGATGTAATTTTGATTAAGTGTTAAATAATATTGGACAGCTTTCTTAATTAATTATATTTTCAATTTGTAATAAAAATCATAATTTCATTTTCAACCAAGTTAACTGTGTGTTTTAACCCCATTGGTCATTCGGATAACGCTCACTTCGTTCATTCCTTCGGCCAAGCTCTCGTTTTGGAAGCCCAGATCACCCACAAGAATTCACACTTCTGCTTTCATTCTATTGGTCATTGATTCACTTCTCTCTTCCTTCCGCTCTCGCTTTCATGGAAGCCATGTCTGTGACCTCTTCTGCTACTTCCTCCTTCTTTTCAATCTCACTCAACCCCTCCGCCGCCTCAAAACCAACCTCTTTCCGGCTTCAATCGCATCTATCGTTATGGAAACCCATCAGATGCATCCAATCCCACATCCCGGATTCAAACTCTGTGAAACCAAATCCTCGAAACTCTGCTTCCTGCTTTGGTTGCTCTGCTCTCACTTTCTCGTCGTCGCAAACCGCCGAGCTGGCTTCTTCGAAGCTCCAGTGTTTAGTTGATGAATTTCGAGCTTTGCCTGAGCCCATCGACCGCGTCAAGCGTTTGTTGCACTACGCGAACCTTCTTCCGCCTTTGGAGGATTCGGCCCGCGTCGACTCGAATCGGGTCATGGGATGCACTGCGCAGGTTTGGTTGGAAGTGAGAATCGACAGGGAAGGGAAGATGAGATTTGCGGCTGATAGTGACTCGGAAATCTCAAGGGGGTTTTGCTCGTGCTTGGTTTGGATGCTCGACGGGTGCGTGCCAGAGGAGGTTTTGAAGGTGAATACCGATGATTTGGTGGCTCTTAATGTCGGTTTACCTGGAAGTGAACGTTCAAGGGTAAATACTTGGCATAACGTTCTGATTAGCATGCAGAAAAGGACAAAGCAATTGATCGCAGAGAGGGAAGGTAAACCGCCCTTTGAGCCTTTTCCCTCCTTAGTCGTGGCTGCTGACGGAGTTCATCCTAAGGGCAGCTACGCCGAAGCTCAGGTTAGCAATATGTCGCCGACCTTTTAGCAATCGCTTTGAGAATGATAAAAGTGAATTGAAGTTCACAATAATAGCATCTTTTTTGTGTATGAAAATTATATCAAGTGTCGACTGTTGAACATATTCATGGGGTATAATTGTGAGCTTGAAACAAACTATTCGTTTCTCATGCGGCGCGGCTTGATTTTTATTATAAGCTACATATTATAAAGAAATTGCTTGTCTGAGTATACACAGACGCAGAAACATGGGGTTAACTACTGGTACTGTGGCAATCCTCAATGAAGATGATGGTGATTATCTACTGTTGGGATAACTTCTTAAATTTCTTAATGATCTTCTCTTGTAAACTCTTCTACTGAAATATTCACAACTGTTACTCAGAGGAAGTGGTGTCTTTTCCATTTGTCACTCTTTTACATCTAAAAAGCAAAGAAATGCCTCAAATCACAGTTCCTGGCGGAATCATTTAATCCGTCCAAAACGATATGAGAGAATCACTGTTATTCCCCCCCTTCTGTTGTAAGAATATGATCTTGTCTTCTTTTATAATTGCAGCCAGTGGCCAACATACTGTAGGGAGGTGGTTGATGATGATAAGAGATGGGCTAATGTAGGAACTATTATGTAACCTTTTTTGGGTAATGTTATCAGTGTTTTATTAAATAATAATAATAATTATTATTGTAGCCAGTGATGAACATTTCGATTTTGGTCTTCCTCTTGGTACTGTACTTTTCATTGTTTTCCCAATTGAAACAACTACTATTTAGCATGATTTTGTAGAATTTAAATGTGTCATTTACTAACGCTTCATTGGAAGTTGTATTAATTTTATGCTTGCTTCTTCTGAAAATCGCAACTTCACAATGATGCCATGTAATCAAAGGATGAGAGAAAAGTTTGTTTGCTTCCATCTTTCAGGGTAATACTGTTCTGTGTAGGCAGCTGTGGAATCTTGACCTGATAACATTAAATTCCTAATTTCCTTCTAGCTTTCTTGCAGGCAAAATACCTTTCACCAGATGAGTTAAAAGTTAGTGAACTTGTCAGTGTGCTCAAGGAGAAGAAAATTGGTATTGTTGCACACTTCTACATGGATCCTGAAGTTCAAGGCATCTTAACTGCTGCCCAGAAGCAGTGGCCTCACATCCATATATCTGACTCGTTAGTCATGGCAGATTCAGCTGTCAAAATGGCAAAAGCTGGGTGCCAATTCATAACAGTGTTAGGTGTAGATTTTATGTCAGAAAATGTGCGTGCTATCCTTGACCAAGCTGGTTTTGACAAGGTATGCCTCTCTCTTGTATTGTTCTTAGCTTTTAGGCTAGCCATCAGTGATGATAATGTAGAGATGATGCTGATATGTAAAGCTTGTCTAAAAAGATGAACTCTATAGTCTATACTGTAAGATGATGCTGATATGTAAAGCTTGTCTAAAAAGATGAACTCTATAGTCTATACTGTAATTTCCCCTTTTGACACTGGTGCATAGCTGTATTAGTCACGTCATATGTGTCACAATAAGAGATATTGCCAAAGTTCGGTATTGGTGAAACATATTAGTCAGTAATCCTTGAATTTCTTCTTTTCGAGAGTTTCATGCAGGTTGGTGTGTATAGGATGTCAAATGAACGTATTGGTTGCTCTCTGGCTGATGCTGCTTCTACTCCTACTTACATGAAATATCTGGAGGCAGCTTCTGGGTGTCCTCCCTCCTTGCATGTGATATACATAAATACTAAGTTGGAGACAAAAGCATATGCTCATGAACTTGTTCCAACAATAACCTGTACTTCATCAAATGTTGTTCAGACTATTCTACAGGTTAGTACGATACATAAAACTTCTTGATTTTTCTCTTGGGCTTTGTATCAAACAGATGCATCATTTGATGAGCACCCCTCAGCCCCTTCAGTGACTGTTTCATTAATTGTGTTGCTCTTACTTTATTCAGGCTTTTGCTCAAATACCTGCTTTGAACTTATGGTATGGACCTGATTCCTACATGGGTGCAAATATTAAGGAGTTATTCCAGCAGATGGCAGAAATGACCGATGATGAGATTGCTGAACTACATTCGGAGCACAATCGAGACTCTATAAGATCATTATTACCCCGGCTTCACTATTATCAAGTAAGTTCTTTTGGCTAGATTTGTAAAGCTATGGTATGTTTGAGTTTATATGTCTTTGGATTGAATGTTGATCATGTGAAGCATCTTCATGCTCATGCTTCTACCGTTTGTGGTGAGCCCCCCCTCCCAAAACCCAAAAAAAAAAAACTCTTAATTTTTGATGCTTGACAATGATAACTCTAATTTTTCGCGAATGATATAGTTCTTATAATAGAAACAAGAGAAGAGATTAATTGTAAACTTGAGTTATGGAGGAGGACATTGGAATCGAAAGATTTTCGTCTGAGTAGGAGTAAGACGGGATATTTATATTTTAAATTTGGTAAGAGACTAGTCGACAGTAATTTGGAAGTAAAATTGGGAGATCAAATTATACCTCAAGTGGAAAAGTTTAGATATTTGGGAGCCATTATTTAAAATGATGGAGAAATCAGTGAAGATATTTTACATAGGATTCAAGCTGGGTGGTTTAATTAAAAATAAGCTGAAGGAGTTATTTACGACCGTAAGGTGCCTAATAAACTTAAAGGAAAGTTTTATCATACTGCAATCAAACCGGCTATGTTATATAGTAGTGTTGGGCTCTAACGGGATAACAGGAGCATAAAGTTGGAGTAACTGAGATGAGAATGTTACGATGGATGTACGGACATACAAGGAAAGATAAAATTCGAAATGAGCGCGTATGTGAAAAAGTGAGGGTAACACCTATTGAGGAAAAAATAGTAGAAAATCATTTGAGATGGTTTAGGTATGTACAAAGAAGACCGTGGGAGGCACCGGTGAGAAGAGTAGAACATATAATTTTAAGCCCTATTAAAAGAGATAAAGGAAGGCTTAAGAGAACATTCTTGAAAGTTGTTGAATGCGATCTCTTAATTAATAATATTTTTAAAAACTTGCTAAATGATAGAGCACAATGACATCTTACAATCCATGTAACCAACCCCATTTAGTGGGATAAAGGTTTTTTGTTGTTGTTGTTGTATTTTATATTTTCCTTTCCTCCCTTTTTTCTAACTTCGAGTTATATGGACTTTGTTATGCTTTTCTTTTTCAGTTCAGATCTGATCTTTGACAAATGACTTGTAAACATTTTCCATTCTACCAACTTTAATTTCTGAGATTTTTTCCTGTAGTGCTTGAATATCACTTTTGGTTCATTTTTTTGTTTTATAAAGGACTTGAATGTACAGCTATCTTGCAATTGTCATCATGTTATTTTGTGTTTTTCCTAGTTCTAGCGATTGTAGTTCTGGATTATTCATTTCCTTACTATGGACTCCTGATGTCAGGATGGAACGTGCATTGTACATCATCTTTTCGGGCATGAAGTTGTGGAAAAGATAAAAGAAATGTATTGTGATGCATTCCTTACTGCGCATCTTGAGGTCCCTGGAGAAATGTTTTCCTTGGCTATGGAAGCAAAAAGAAGGGGAATGGGTGTCGTAGGCTCCACCCAGAACATTTTAGATTTTATAACGAACAGGGTTCAAGAAGCATTGGATAGAAATGTAAATGATCATCTCCAATTTGTTCTAGGAACAGAATCTGGGATGGTAACGTCAATTGTAGCAGCAGTACGTAATTTGTTAGAGCCTGCAAAATCATCTTCTCAAGGAGCAAAAATTACAGTTGAAATCGTCTTTCCAGTTTCATCAGACTCAATCTCAAGAACTTCCTCAAGCTTACCCTCAAGTCTACAATCCATGGTTGGTGATATTGTACTTCCTGTTGTACCTGGAGTAGCTAGTGGGGAGGGTTGTTCCATTCATGGTGGCTGTGCATCCTGTCCATACATGAAGGTAGAACTTGCAACTTTGTTTAGCAGAGTACTTTATCTGCTTAAATAGGATTTTCTCCATTGATGACAATTTGTAAACACTGATTTACAGTTTGGTTAATAACTGCAATCTGTAAGTAATTGAAAACCCTAGCTAAAGGTAAAGAAGATATGATAAAATGCCTTGGGGAGCAAAAGTTGATGTCCGTAAGTTATCAATCTTATTGTCATCTCATCTTAAGAAGAAAAGGTTGGTCACCAGTGGATGTCTCAAGTTTGCTGATTCTTTTTTTATTTTGGCCAAAAGTTTGCTGATTCAAACTATGATGAATCTTCAATATTATTTGTAAAAGCAGTCTTCTGACGTTTCTTTTTAATTTTCCAGATGAATTCTCTTGGTTCACTTCTAAAAGTATGCCATCACCTCCCTGATAAGGAAGGTGCCCTTTCGGAATACAAGGCAGAAAGATTTACGTTGCAGACTCCAAATGGAAAATCAGTAGCAGATATAGGATGTGAGCCGATTTTGCACATGAGGAACTTCCAGGTTAGTTCTCTTTAAATGGTGAAGTCTTTCCCTTATTGACGTGAGACAATATGCCGTTGGATTCACCTTTGGATTCTTCCACAGGCTACCAAAAAGCTTCCGGAGAAGCTAGTCAATCAGATTCTTGATTCCTAACTCCTAAGACAGTGGAGGTTTTATGTCAAAAAGTTGAAAAAAGCAGTGAAGGCGAAGACAGAAACATGTGCTGCTGACTTGTAAACAATCCTAAATGGAAAAATTCTTGATCCGTGCAAGGACTTTTCTTATAGCGTGGTTGCTACAGTCAGGATCTGTTGTATGATTATTATGTTTCATGTAGGGAGTTTCTAACATGGGTTACTTAGAATGGCCATGAAATATAGTTTGCTTTCGGATAAAGAGGAATGTAATAAAAGTTTTGGTTGCTAAACCCCTTTGCCTCTCCCCTCCATTATTGCACTTTTAATGCAGTACAGATGTCTGCGTCATGCAATTTTTTGCTGAAGCTAGGAATGCTTAGTAACTTATGGAGGCTTCAGATGCAACAGAATTGAATAGTCCAATACTCCGCAATTGACAGTCCTTACAGTGATTGTTCTGGAACTTCATCATGTTTTTCTGTCAAATTTTAGTGGAAGTATTTATTTTTCGGAATCGTCATTCTGTCAAATTATTTTGTACGCGTGTGATAATTTGCTGCGCTCTTATTTTTTTGGATACTGACACTACTATAGATCCTTTTTTAGCTTAGGGTTAGTGAAAATTTTCGCTTTTTCTTTAAGGTTAAAGGGCATATTTGTTTTGAATTTTTTTTTTTTTCAGGGACGCTGAGTATTCTTAACTTTTGTTTGGAATATTTTTGCTCTGAAACTTTAAAAAAGGGGGTCTTTTCACCCTGTCGGTAAATGGGATGTTTGTTGACCATTAAAATTGATCTTTGACCAATAGAAATGAGAGGTGAAATTTGTAAAATCCACACGTGGAGTCTGAGTGATGAGATGGGATACATATTTTAGTTCCTTTCTTCAATTCTATTTCACTTCTTTAACCAACCCCCAATGATTGCAGCTGGAAATGCATCAAAGTGAAGATTCACAAGTTGTCGACGGTGTGCGAAATGTTAATCGAGTGAAGGCATGGCTGAGTCAACATATCTATGATGATTAGAGCTCAATAAAGGCTTGCAACTTGAGGCAGCGATGAGAGGTGCATTATGAAGGTGTGAGGAGGTATTGTCATTATGGTTTCGTGGCTCTGTGATGGACTTCATAAAGCAAGGAAAATCTAGGGAGAAGGTTTTATGGCTATCATAATTATCATCAGGTTTGTGTCTTCTTGCGATGTGTTCTTCGTGTACATGTCATCTCCTCCTCCTTCTTGAAAGTGGGGTTTCTATCATTACTTATAAGGTGGGTGTGGTTTCTTCGACTAGCACGATGGTGAGATAGAGGAGAGGGTAAGAGATGTAATCAATAAGCTTCTTCAGCATGTGGAAAATTTGTCTAAGAAAAACAATAAATGTGGAATGTGTGATGAAGGCATGTTAACTAATGAGGAGGTTGATGCTTTGTATGAAGAAATCAAGAAGATGTTGAGGATATTGAAGAAGAGCTTGAATGTAGCATTATCCTTAATGGCGTTGTGCTGTTTTTTTTTTTTAATGTATAAGGGTGCATAAGTTGTGTTCCTTATCCTTGTATGGTGTCATGCTGCTAGGTTTAGGCATTAGTAAGAGGTCCCTTTGTAAGGCAAAATAGAGGGGTTGGTTCCACTCATTTGTTCCTTTTCTATGGTTGTAATGTTATTGAATGATTATAAGTGAATCTTCATTTGACTCTCCTCTTCTTCTTTTGACAGACTTAGGTTGAGATTTTGAAACAAAACTTAATTCTTTGGTTTTGTTTTCATCTTGAGAATGTCAACCTTATTCATAGACGGGACCTAATGTTGGAAGCATTCTAGTGGTATTTTTTTTTTCCATTATATGTTATCATATACTTTAAGACATGTAGTCAGAGCTGAATGTAATATATCATAAACTGAATTAATTGCAATAATCAATAGCTTCCCTTAATTTGATCATGGAAAACCTTTATGAAATAATTGCAATAATGTTGATGGTTCACAATAAATTTAACCAACAGTTGGCACCAAATAGTACACAACAAAATTTTGACACCAATAGTTCACAATAACTTTAACCAATAATTAGAAAATTATGGCCAAACCAAAATGTGGGTATCATATATATACTTGTGAAATTAAAAGGTAGCACTAGATTACAATATTAAATTAGGGTATTGGAACCACATAGCCAAGACAAAATATAATGTCACCCAAAAGTCATAGTACCCTACAATATTAATTTAAACTTAGTATGCATAAATTTCAAATCAAATGCTTCTACAAGTAGAGCTCCCCCTCATCTATCCAATCCTCTATTCTCTCTGACCTAGAAGTTGAGAGGTTGTGATATTCAATTCTCCTTTCCAATTTAGGCCTATCAATTATAAGGCAAATTTGAAGGTCCTACATTATTGTTGAATGTAATCTTCCTGGACCCTTTCCCACATGTGCTATCTCTACACATGTCCCTCCTAATGTCTCTCTCATTGGGTATGAGAAATCTTGTCTCAAGATCTGTATGACTCGCATGATACTTTTAAGTAGTACCCTCTTCAAGGACAATCTTTAAACTCATCCTGGGCTGTAAATATGAGCATTAAAATAACATATCCAGCTTAATATTCAAGTAGTAAATATAGATTGTAAATTTAGAAATGAAAAAATTATTAACATACATTATACATAGTCCTCTTAGTATTCAAGTTTACTTTAATTCCTATACCACTTCTAACTTTACTCTTACAAAAATCCCTCCCTCGACATGGTGTATACTTCTCATATTGAAATGACTGCGAACCATTAATTGAATATGATCTACTACTATCCCTTCTTATACCATTTTGTCTACTCCTAAATCTTGTGTTGCTTGATATAGGTTTCTGCATAAGATAAAATATCATTATTAAAAATGGCATTGTTATAATACCAGAAAAATATTAGGTTGATGATACTTATATCTTTACAAATGGCGCTATTATGGCCAAGTTTTTTGCAAATGAAGCATGAGATATGTCGAGCTCTCTTGCTCAATTTCTTTATCGAAGGTTGAGATGATTGCAAAGTTCCTTGCTATCTAACCATACTACTAATGATTCTTCTTGTTTGTTCTTTAGTCCTCATACTTTTTTTCTTTGGTTGACTAGGTAGCTTAGTAGTGGGGGGGTCTATTGGTTGAAACTCCTCAACCTTCCAAAATTGTTTTTCTTTAACTGGCTGTAACCTTATAACTATCAAGGTAGGTTTTTCTATGGTAGTACTGGGAAATTTGAGTCATTGAGTCTATTTTAGCATGATAAAAGGCATAAATGGCATGTTGACAAGGTAAGCTAGTGAGATCCCAGATCCTATAAATGCAATTCCTTATGTTTAAAAAAATAATATGCTTATTTGGCCCTTTGTAACCTCATATCCTTGATCATCATTAAAATAGACCCTATATTTCATAGCTAGATCCCTATTTGTGTCAAACAAATTCAAACACTTGAGAGCTGAAATCCCCATTCCACTTCTTTACATTTTTTTAGCCTAGGCCCATTTTGCCATCGTTTTAAGCCTAATACCATCTATCATTTTAGTGACAGGCAACCTAAAGTCATCTATCCGTACATTAAGACTTTCATTAAAATTGTTGTCCACTATCCAAGATATGCATCTCGTGGAAAAGTATGCTCTTACCTAATTCTTTAAAGGATATGACATTGTTACTTGCTTGCTTAGGCTACCTAGCGCTTTGAGATAATCTTTAAATTGTTCCTCAAATGTACTCCATGTGTAAGTGAAAAATTTCTTTTTCAACTGTTCACGTCTCCATTTCTTACTTCAGTTGTCATAGATATGTCTAGCACACAATTTATGCTCTGCCTATGGTAAGATTTTCTCAACAACATCCATCAAGCCTTACATGAATAAGCTCTAATATCATTACTCATGTCCTTGCAATATATAAAATATCCTAAAGCAAATGTAGGTTACCTTTTGCATGCCAGACATAATTGTTACCTTCAACCTATCACCAAGCTCCAATGACTTTTGGAGCCGCTTAATGAAATAGGTCTAATTTAGGGTATTTTCCTTCTGAGTTAGTTCAAAAGAAATGGGAAAAAAAGCTATCATCCTTATTTATCCTTATAACAGTAAGCAAAATCCTTCAAGTATGACCTTTCAGGAAAGTCCCATCAACCCCAATGATGGGTTTACAATGTGCTTTCCAACCAATCTTGTAAAAAAGAAATGTTAGACATTTATAAACTAAAATTGACACAACATATATAACTAAAATTGACACAACATCTCACATGAAGAGCCTGTTAAAAACACTTTTGCCATTTTCCAAAGTTTATTTACTTACTTCAACACTTAAATCAGAACTCAAATTTGATGCTTTCACCTCATTACAATATGCTTCTATATTGTTAAACTCGTCCCTGTAGCTTCCCTCTAATTCCTCCATGATTATCTTCTTTACATGCTTGCACTTATGTATTCTCACATGCAGTTTTACGACATCCTCCACATCCTTCTTCATGTTTGATATCTTGTATTGTGGCCTCTATTGCACCTTATTCTTGAAATAGGATGCTAGCCACTTTGTTAATGCCCTCTAGTTCTTATAAACTCTATTGTACATATAATCCATACATAGGGTCTTCATTGACAGGCTTGGGTTGGATCCATCCTTTGACACATATACTTCGAATGGGCAACCATTTTGACAAATGGCCTTTACTCTGAAAGGCCTCACTCTTTATCAGCTTTAGTTTCACTCCCTCTCTAATTGCATGCTTATCAATAGCTTTAGTGGCCTCTTCTTTTTTTTGCAAATGTTTGGCTCATTATGAAAAAAGGCCTAACATTAGGTTTGAACTCATCAACAGGCCTTCTTTCCTTTTTCATAGGCCTATTGTCATCATGCAAGCCTATATCTTAGTTCAACTCCTCATTATCAAGTCCACCATCTAACTCCCCCTTATATAAGTCATCACTTTCATCTTTATCAACATAATCCCTATCCTCACTTATTGAATCATCTTCTTCACAAGACATTCCATCATTTGCTCCATAATCATATACTACCCCATCAATACCCTCGACCCTTTTAACAACCTCATCCCCCTTAACACCCTCAAACAAATCTCTGATCTCAACATTCCTTTGACATTGTCAACAAATTACCTTCTTTACTATCATTATTCAAGTCGTAACCATCCTTAGACACACTTAGCTCAATATAGTCAATTGACACATTGTTAACATCAATAATTATTTCCTCGCCTCTGTTTTCCTCACAGGTTTCTTCTTCATAGACCTTTTCTCTACCTCATGAACCCTCACTAGCTCCATTTATCTTTTGCTTACCTCTATTTCCCTCATCTTGTTCATGTTCACTCACCTTTTGCACACTTGTTTTTAACCTATCCTCACTATTAGAAGCTATAATTCATTTAGCTATGGAGTTATACCCTCCCTGAAGTTGTTCTCTCAACTCATACTACTCTTTCTGTCTCCTACTAATTACATCAAAGTATCTATTAATTGCATCCCAATTTATTCCCCTTCCCCATTGGATGACATCTTAGAATCTACAAAGCTAAAATGGAAAATCAAATAAATCGACTAAGGTTTGAAAAAATTTTCACTGTGGTACTGAAAAGAAATATCAATGCAAAATTTAGATTCCTTACGTGTAAAAGCTCTTTGATTTACTGTAATGTATTGTCCTCAAAGCCTTAGAGATTTGATTCCTTACGTGCACCCTACAATCACATACCTCACATGTTTGTCGTGTTTGGCTTGTCTTCTCTCTGAACTAGGTGGCTGGTTTAAGATGGCTTGTCTACTCACACACTCAACACCTTCACATCACCTAGTGTTGGAACTAGATAGCTTGTCAACTCACACCACAGTGCCTTTAGGTTCCCAACTTTTTGAACCAGAATGCTCAACTCAAAACCCTAGTTCAGACCTTTTTATTTCATTCTAACTCTTTAATCTTTCTATCTAAGACGTAATAAAACATGTGGATCCATTCAACTCATCTAGTCATTGCCATTTGTCATTTTTGTGATCAAAGATCAATTTTCATGGTCAACAAATGTCCCATTTAATGATAGGGTGAAAAAGCCCCTCCTTTTTAAAGTTTCGAGGTAAAAATATTTTAAGCAAAATTTAAGGATACTCAACGTCCCTTGAAAAAATATTCTAGAACAAATATGTCCTTTAACCCTTTTCTTTTAGGATTAATATGAGCAAGTGATAGTTGGATCACATGTAACTTATGACCAAATCTTTAATTTCTTTTCCAAGCAAATATATCAAATTAATAGACTTCTAACGATTCTAGCTGCATTGCACACCAACAATAACTTTTTATCGTGGGAGAAGTGATCCATTGTGTGAAGCTGACTAACCATAGGGCCATGAAGTTCTTTGAGCAGTCAACGGACAGAAAGAGGCCACGTTACCCAATTCATTTAAACGATGCCCTTGGCTAAACTCTTGTGCATATTAAAACCATCTCTTGAGAAGTAGCTGGTAATGTGAAAATCCCATCATTCATCTCCATTCTATATTCTAATCATTAGATTGATTTAGGAATTCAAATGAAATGAAAAACAATTAGATAATATTGCATAAATATTTGCTCCCTTTTTTTCACTACAGTATTTATATCTTTAATCCAGGTTACCCTTTTTTGGGGGACATATTTTTTATTGAAAATTTAATCATTGTTGCATACTTAAGTCTTAAATTCAAGACGTTTAATTAAATTGAATCAACCCCTTAGTTGATTTAAGTTTCTAATAGTTGTTAATGGTTAGTTGTCATAACAGCAAGATCACTTTCTTCTCTTGAAAAAAATTCTGAATTCAAACCTAACATTGACATGATTGTATGCATGCCTAAATGCGTGTCTCTTTGATTCTTTGAATTATGGATACCAAAACAATAATATGAAGCCTACTCTTTTGCTGATTATAAAACGACATCGTGTTTGAACTCACAGGCATGTCATACTCAATTTTATATATAGTGCACCCGCTTATATGTTCGAAACTCTCGCCGAGTCCCTCCAACATGACACAGTGCTATGCTCTATGTCACACTATTCTATCGTTTATTTCAAAGATAGGGAAAAAGAAAATCTGACAGTCTGATTTGAAGGCATGGTGGAGCAATAAGACGTGTCCTCGGCTAAACAACATTCCACCACAAAAGACATAAATTTCACCTAAGCCGGCCGCGAAATGTCTTGCTTGCAGCTGGGTGAAACCTATATCGATGATCACTATGCATCCTCCCCCATCTTAAAACCATCTTTAAACCCCACGTCCCCATATTCTCCATATTCGATATGCAAGTGTGATTGCCATCTCTCTCTCTACATGGCTAGCTAACAGTACGTACACACACACGCGCGCGCGCGCATATATGGAGCGAAGGTTAAACACAGAAAGTAAGGGAGGATCAGTGACGCTCCAAAAGAAGTTGGCGGAGATGCGGCGGAGAGCACAACCGGTGCCGGAACTCAGCGACTTCATGGAAGATATGTTTTTTGGGACTGCTGACATGGAAAAGAAGAGCTATAACCTGACGGGTGGTGTGCTGTCGGCAAACGACGACGATGTGGGGTTTGACGACAGCACGAGAAGTAACAGCAGCAGGATGACGGAGGAGTGGCTGGAAGAGGCTCGGCGCGTAGTGGCGGCGTCTCCTACGCGCTGCGAGTCGCCTGGTCGCCTGGTTGGATCCCCCAGGTTTGCGGCCACCGCACAGGGAACGTCACCGGCTGCATTTCCGTTGTTAGATCGAAGAGACCCTCTTTCGAGGTCCGCCAGAAGGTACCTGTATATGTGTGTCTCGAAGATTCAATTTATATAGCTGTTGAAGTGGAAGCTAGTAGCTCCGTTGTGAACATGGCATTCTCTATGGTCCCGTTATACGCATCAATCTGTATACTGTCAACATTTTTTGTCGTTATCTTTTGCTCTTGTCCCTGGGATTCACTACTTCAAGAGCGAATCACTTGGACTAACGGTGAAATGCTGGTACCCAACCCAGAAAAAAAGGAAAAAAAAAAAAAAAAGAGGAAGTATGGCATACAAGTTATGGTATGCATTTTAAAAACGTCCTCTTTTAAAAACAGAAAAACAAAAACAACAAGAGTCGTCTTTCAAGAAAAATAATAATAATAATTTCTCTATAGAGGATTAAATTTTCAAATTCCAATGCATGCGAGGTTTGGCCAAAAATATTCCAAGGCATATTCCCAAATCAATCTATCTATTTATTGTTTATATGAAATTTGTACTTTTCTGATCCAGTACATTAATCACTTTTTAAAAATATAATTTTATTTATTTTATAAATTATTAATTAATAAAATTATTTTATTTTAAATTAAAATTTTTAAATTACTTTTAAAAAATAAGAGATTGAAAAACAAAAAAATAATATTATATTATTTGTTCATTTTTTGCTTTTCACTTAAAGTTACATTTAGAATTTCATTTAGTTTTATTTCTTGTACTTTTATTATATTAATATTGATGAGAATGATAGAAATAATTTATAAATAAGACTGAAAGTAATATATAAGATTGAAAATAGATCAAGTTATTAACAGGAGCCTATAGTTTGACCTACTTCAAATCTAACATAATCTATTTATTAAATAAGTTTAAGTCAGGTTTAGACTTTTAATTAAATTTATTTAATTAAATAGGTCAAACTTATTTATTAAGACCTAGTATATGAGTTTAATAAGCCGGATATATATATATATATATATATATTATGTAATATATCATAAATATGTTAATTTTATCATTTAATTTTTAATCAATCTATTTTTTTCTTAATTTCTAGTTATATTTTCAATCACATTAGACTTATAATTTAATTTTAATAGTATTACTTTATTGTAATATTGTATTATAGTTGATAAATTTTTTAATCAAGTTATATATTATACATTATAATAGTTTTAAAATATATTTAAAACGTTTGAAAATGTCAATTTATTTAAAAGGTTTAATTTTAAGTATATTTTTAGGTTAGATCAATTTTAAATAGGCTTAATCTTAAACTGTGAAAAAAAAAATTATATAAATTTTAGATCATGTTCAAATTTATTTAATTAAAATTTAATTTAATCTAATCTATTTTTACCCTTATTTGTATAGAGGTTAATTTAATTTAATTACTAACAATAATTGGATTGAATATTGAATAATTTATTTGGAATGAGGGAAACAGGAACAGGGCTGGGGAAGGGTTCGGTGGGGAGATCCTCTCGAGAACAGCGAAACACAGCCGCAACAACTCCGATTCATCATTCAATATCAAGCCCTTGTATGGGGATGATGGATCCCCTGCTACGGCGGTCCACAGGTGGTTCTCCAACATCCTCAAGCCCTCCAATATCGCGCTCTCTTCCGACCCCACTCCCGCACCTGATCCCACCCGATCCTCCTCCCCTCTCCCGCCTCCTCGTTCCTTGCACCGCAAGTCCCGATTCCAGACCGATCCATCTGTTCCTCCTCCACAGGGCAACCAGGTCTTTCCCCGTCGGACCTTCGGGACTTCTGCGCCTTCGCCGGAGCCTCCTACACTCTCGTCGCCCAAAAATGTCGACGAACCTGCCATCGCCGAAACTTTCTCCTCGCCGAACTCTGTGCCTCTTTCTCCGCCCAGAAATCCTGTCCAGTCGGCTCACCGGAGAATGTTGTTTTCGTCTACCTGTTCGCTGGACAAAATTGCGCCCCAGACTGATGCTAGTGGACGGTCCAAGCGGGGAGAGGGATCCCTAGATCATTCCCTTAATCGGTTTCTTGAAGAGCAGAGAATTTTAATCCAGAAATTAATGAACATGGAGCTCAATGCAAAGGCCAAGGTTGTGCTCTCTGGGCCTTCTAACAGTTAAGGCTCATTTCCCCTTATCAATATATATGATCTCTATTACAAAATATCAGTACTTTCTTTACTATTTGAGGCTTTAAGGTGGGCACATTTCAATCTTGTGCAAGCTTGTTTTTTAAATGTGTTTGAACAACCCATTTGTAATTTTAAATCAATGAGTATGACGTGGTGACTGGTGTGGAGAATGTGTATGTGAAGTGGCATTTAGGTCCTAGAAAGTTTTAATCTTATTGCTAAAATGTGAAAGTTTAATGAATTAATTTATGATTTTTAAAGTTGAAAGGTTGGTTGCTAATGGCATATAATCTAAGCGGTGTATCTGTTTCTTTATTGACGACACATGCTTTATCTGTATGAATTAATGTGAGCAAAAGAGCTAAGTAAGTCAATTTGTGCAGTGCAGGTATAACATCAATGGTAGCGGCCATATGTTATGCGTGGCTGTTGTGGTATAGGCAAAGGGAGAAAGATGATGGAGGGGACAATGTGGTAGTTCCTGTCATGAATGTGAGGCGAAGTTCTATGTGGAAGCTAAGGCAGGCTGCTTGGCTCTTTTTCCATGCTGGCCTTGACGCTACCTCATTGATTTTCGCTAACGAGGTGATTTTCATATTTTTATAAGGAAAAACAATTTAGATGGGACAGGTGTAATTCTTTGTTGCATGTTAAATTGTTGACAATGTCTGATAATCCCTAAATGCTTGCATAGAAATGCTTTTACAAGCCTTCGCATTAAAGTTGGTAAGCCAATTTCATTTGAGGTATTCTTATATTATGATTTATGGGGAAAAAACTGAAGTTCTCTCTCGTTAATCATGATCACCTATCTACTTGGTATATTGATGTTGGATGAGCTTTGCATTGGTTGCTAATTCGTTCTGCAAACTTGTTTTCAGGTGGACTTGGAAGACCTTATGATGTCTGGTCATCTGAACATCCTTGTGGTTGGTCAAGATATCCTAATTGCTACTGGCGAGGTTGGTTCATAGATGAAGTTGAGATTCAAATCAAATTTTGAAAAGTGTGATCCCAAAGTGATGCACAATGAAGCGTGGTACTGAATTTTACATCTGATTTTATGCCTCATTTTGTTCTTATAGGTTGGATCTCAGTGTACCATTCTTACTGATAATTATTGTGAAGACGCCTACAATCTACTTCAAGACCCTGTGCTGCAGGAACTTCTGGTAATTTGATGAAACAATGTCAAGTTCTTGTCAGTGATATGAAATTACCTGTCTTGCCATTTCAAGAAGTGATCTGGGAAAATATTTAAGGACAATACGACTGAAGCCTCTTCCCATGTGTAATTTTACAGCTTTCTGGTATCCTGCTAGACACTCAAAATCTGAAGGCATCAGCTTCATCATCTATGACGAGAGATTCAGAGGCAGTTCAGTTGCTGTTGGTTGGCTCAGCTCCAAACTACAGATTTACTTTATTTGATCAATGTGAGCTTCATTGTTCTCCATATTGAAATTTATATGCAAGGAGTTCATCAATTATTTAATTTTATGTATCGATTTGTTTTGGTTCCTTTCCAGTGATGCAAGACCAAAAGGCTACTTCTTTTATTGAAGCATTACACCAGAACTATGGGAAGCCTTATGACGGAAGTAAGTATCTACACTGACCTTTGTGAAGCTAAGTGATTATTCTAGTATCTTTGACTAGGCACTGTGTCACAAACTTTTGTGGCTAACCTAAAATCTGCAGTGGTGGGAGCTATGATCTAATTTGTATGTAATGGTCGTAGCAAGTCCAATTTAAAGATTCATCTTGGGGGAAAGACTGAATGGTGGTTTTGATTGGTTAACTGAAGTGAGAAGAATTGCTATGGACATATTTTCTTGGAACGGGTTCCATTTTCTTAGAACTGCCATACCTGTGAGCCAATTAAATTGTGACGACTTCCAATATTCAGTCTCAGAAGTAATAATATGACCAGACTTCTTTACTTGCATGAATCTGAAATTTTATTCTGTATCTGTATCTGCAGTGTGCGATATATTTTGGACCTTATACGATCATTTTTTATGAGAGTACTAGTAATCTGTTTTTCCAGCATTGTATTGTTAATTGTAGATAGATGGTGAGTGCCATGTATAATGTAGTTTGATATATGAATTGCACTGTTCATAACTTGTGAATAATGCAACTTACTATAAATTTAGTATTTTATATTGCTTTTTGCTGCTTTCATCATGGTAGCTGATGGATAAATTTAGTGCGCTCTACTGGGTCATTGGTTGCTAAGTTTCAGTGTTTTTCCAGGTGATCAAGATTTTGAAGGAAAAACAGAGCAAAGAGTTCGAGAGAGGAAGTCAACCTCTCTGTCCGATCATGATGTGGTACCTAGTCCAGAAAAGAATTCTACTGATAAAAGGGGTTCTAAAACTAACAATGTTTCTCCACAACCAGGTGTGTATTAGTCTTTTCATCTCCTTTCCCTAGATGTTACCATCTTATTTTGGTTATCCTGTCTTTCTAATTTGATAGACGAGGTGTCAATAACCATTAAGCTTAAATTGTTAGCAGTGGAGTTGTACATGGATTGTTAGTAACAGAAATATCCAGGGGCTGGACCTCATGGCATAATAGCTCAAAAGTTGGCTCTGTTTTAATTGGGTTTGAGAAATGCCAAAACTATATAATATCTTTGTTTCAAATACAAAATTGGTGACTTTTCTTTGCAGCAAAACTTATTTCACCACCTGAGGAATCACCTGCCCCTGCACGAGCACGCACAGAGAAAGAAGCTTCTCGTGGAAAGAGCAAGTTCTTCCTGGCAAGATGGTTTGGTTTTGGTTCAAAATGAGGAAAGTTCCTCCTTCATTTTGCGTATGTCAACTCAAAAGTTTTCACATTAGAACAGTAATCAAGTTAGAAGCGGAGATATTGTGGCCAAAAACAAGAAGCGGAGATATCAATTTTTAATTGGATGCTTGGTATTTGGACACTACTAGGCCAGCAGTGTACATGTCAGTGTAAAAGTTTCTTTCTTTCTTTATTCTTCCCCTCCCCCCCACAAAACAGATTATTTATCACTTTCATGATTATCAATAATAATGTCATTTACTTCGGATTCTTTGAAGTTGAATCTTTCACCAAAATATTATTGTTGACGTTGAGGGGAGAATAATCTTTCTCTGGTCAAGTTGCTTTAACTGCTTCCGAAAGAAACAACTTGGTAGCTCACTTGCTCCGATCTTTCAAGCCACGTGGAATACATCTAATGTTGCATCAAATGTTGCCTGCAAGCATATATTCAAATCTATGGTACATTTGAAGTTTATGATTGGTATTTCCGTCGATATTTATTTTTCAATAGCTATCCCTTGTCTAATGGACCTACTTTGTCTGCCATGATGTTCATGTATGTGTACAGATTTTCTCTGATTCCTTGCTCATACGTTCTTGAAAAACTAGAGAGAGAAGTTGCGATGTCAAATATAGTACCAGAGATCGCATGTATATACACACATTTCATATACTCTCTCTCGATTAGTGTTAAAGAAACAAAACTATTAACACTGAATTGTAAAGAATCTAAAATGGCTCGGCGTTCATCTCTTGAAATCAATAAAAAATATTGCCATTTGAAGTGAGTAGACATTTGAGTGTCTTTTACCTACCAAACTCAATGATTCAATTCTTCACCTACACGCGTCATTAATCTATTAATAATAATCTAATGTAAGAGATTTAAATAATTGATAGAACACTCAGTGAATGATGATAAAAAATGCCGGAGAGAGAGCGAGGTGCTTGTATATATATGATTGTCTAATTATTGAGTATAACCCTTCGTTTTAAACCTTCTAATGTGATAAAAAAAAGTATATTTACTCAAATTTACATCCGCACCGCAACGTTTATTGGAAAAAGCAGTGATTAGCAAATCAAGTATTTGGAGACTCTCTGGACTGAATATTGAAAAATATTCAATGATACAATGAGACGTGAAAAAAGGATCTCTCTTTTTGCATAGATTTTTGCACTTGACTTCTAGTCCAACTTCCTATCATCACAATTCATCAAACAACCCTCCTTTGTCGACTCTTTCCGTGACGCTATTATATGAGCAAATACAGACATTCAAGCAGTCCAAAAAATTTATTGTGAATATATATCTGTGTATATATAAAATACTATAGATTACATATACCTACGGTCGATGGATTTTGAAAGAATACATAGCTCGCTTGTCAAGATCAGATCAAGAAGGTGGACGATGAATGTCCATGTGGTGGATGGAGACAAAAAGAGCATGTGTGTGTATGTGTGTGTGATCCAATCTGTATTGTCCAATTTTGCCCAATCCTTCAACAGCAGCTGTAATTAATTCCCAAACCTTCTGCTTGGGCCCACTAGCATTTTCAGTGCCTTCTCTCTCTACCTAATCTCTATCCTTCCCACTCCATGTTGCTCCATCACTTGCAGACCCATGTCTTTTTCTTTTCTCTTGCCTGCTGGGTTTGATGATTGATGAGGGAGCCTCAGGTTGATGATAAAATTACTCAACCTTCCAAGCATAGAGAAACAAGCAAAACTCTGATGACCCACTAACACCAAGACTCTCCAATGACCCAGAACTCTCTGTCTGAGATGATAAAGGAGTAGATGAGGAAGAAGATGATGACGTCATAATTGGCTTAAAGATGAATAAAGCGTGCTTTAAACCAGGACTAAAGAGCCAGTCATGAACATCCCAGTATACCTCTATTCTCATTTTGCTGAGATGAATTGATTCATTGCCTCGGAATTTCCACTGCAAGTGCTTCACGTGAATCATCAAATGCCCATCGATCCTTATCTCCATCTCTGGCTGAACCCCATTTAGGGAAAAATCACCATTGTTGTTGCTTCCCACACTGCTCTTGTTCTTGCACTCTATTGAGATCTCATGGTACCTACCCTTGTCGTGGAATTTAGCCCTGGTGGAGAACTTTTTCTTTCCAAATATATGCTCTTTCTTTGAAACCAGAATGGGCTCAATAAGAGCTGGCCTACAGCCTGTCCTTCTGAAGGCATCTTTCTTAAGATCACCTAGAAGCAGAACTATCTCTTGATCACAAACCACTGCCACATAGTATTCTGAGGTTGGTTCTGTTTCTCCATGAAATTTTGCAGCTTTGAGGTCCCAGAAGATATCAACAGCTTTGCCATCTACTATGAATCGCTTCGTGCCTTGCTTCCTCCAGAAGTACCATGGCTTTAGCTCAACCTTGCAGGTGTGTGGTGTTTCTCCTCCTAGGCCTCCAACTGATACTGATAGGCCATGAAGCATCGAGTTTTTGCACCATGTGATGGTGATCAAACGGCACTGATCAGCGATCTTTGTTCTATATAATGACATGTAAACACTCTGGCCTGATCGGGTCACAGCCCCTGGATCATCAGTGAACTTGTCCGCAGAAGAAAAGCAGGCAGGAATCCCAATGGAGTCTTGCATCGTTCTTGATGATGATGGATCAATCTGAGGTTGATTGCATCAGTACAGGCCAGAAAGTGAAAATGAGAGGAAAATGGATTGGGAGAAACTTTAACATAAGAAGAGAAGAGGAGGGAGGCGGTTGGAGGGGGGGAGATCTGAGCCGCAAGCAGGATGAAAGCTAGCTAGATGTTGCCAGAGGTGATCTTGGAAGCATTTATGAGAAATTTAAAAGAAAAATATTATTTCCAAACTGGCATATGGATTGGCGGAGCGTCAAAGAACAACTCCATATTATAATATGCACATTGTGTCTAATCTATCTTACCTGTCACCTGTATAAGTATTATTTTATTGGTCAGAATTTAACTTTTCAGGTTTCAGCTCACTCAGTTTACTTGCTCCCAGCAGCATAGTTGCAACCAGAGAAGCCATTTTTCACCAGACTCTCAAGACTCTTGATTGCACATGAAATGGGACTCTGGTAATTTCATTTCAAAAGTAAAAAAGAAACTAGCTGTACTGTAATTTAGTAGTTGTAAAGAATCACTGTGTTGTTTATGCTTGTTAAACAATATGTCATATAGTTCTCTGGTCTTGACACGGTTTCACTAATTAGCAATTTTAACCTTTTCCAACATTTGGTTGACAGCGTGGAAGAGGAATCTAAGAAGTGGGTAGCTGGCTAGCTGCAGAAAAGTATGAGGAATCAATCTTTTGCAGTAACAGATCTGTATGCTTGAGGACAAATTAGGCTTTGTTGGTTTTCTTTTCGGTCACATTGAAGAATGATAAATAGACCGGCGGTGTAGCTGTATAAAAAATATTGAAAGTATAACAACTAACGATATCCTAAAAGGGTTAATACCAAATCAATTTTTTTTTTTTAAGATTTTCAATGCTAGAAAGATAAGTGTTGATTTTTTTTTTGGCATAAGATAATACTTTGAGAACCGAATTTATGATGATGATTCAGCATTAATTTTTTTTTTTTTTAGGTTCCTAATTGTCACTCTCCCTAAGAGATTTTTCTCTTTTTATGATATAGTGATATAATAGTATGAAGTGAAAACAAATTTTAAGAGCTGAGACTTACCTTATCCCAAAAAAATAAATTAGTAATAAATATCCAAAAGAATAGTCTAGCTTTAAGATGAGTTTTGGATGATTTATATTTAAAGATTTGATTATTAATCTTTTAAGTGATAACTTTGTTTTAAAAAAAATGGCTGTTAAAATATTATTTTTTTTATTTACATCCCCTAAATATTAAAATAAAAACACAAAAATTAAATTAATATGAATAATCCAATTTCAATTTTGACAGCTTAGACTTAGATGATGAAAAACAAGTACTCCATCCTTGTCTTTTAAAACGAGCACGGGATCCATCTGCCCTTTTTTCTGGCTGCTCAAAATCAAAATGGGAAAACTTGGCCTTGGCGTGGTCCATGAGCCCAGTTGCATTCACTTTAATGTGTCTTTAAATCAATCAACGTAATCAAAAGAGATTGAACAAGATATCATCTCGAGTTGGAGTTTTTCTTTTTAAATATATATAGTATGAGTCTATTTTTTTTTTTAGTGAATTTAAGGATTAGGCCATGTCAATAATAGAGATTATCTTCTCAATTTTTTTTTTGATTGAAATATCTTCTCAAGTTGTAAGAGCAAATAGTATACTTCTCCTAATAAAATTCCTACATACACAAAAATTAGAATTCAAGCTCACAATCACTTCTTATCACTCACATCGCATCAACTTCAAATGTATGATGTTTTATATATATATATATATATATATATAGCTACCTAATCAAGTTAGATTTAGATGTTATTGAGGTGTAATTGAGAGTAGCTTTTCTAAATGTGTTTTTTGCATTTACACAAACTTGAACTCAAGATCTTGTCTTTAAGATAACCATAGACCTTCCACTAGGACTAACACTTATTGCTTTTTTTTTTTTAATTTTTTGGCTAACATAAAAAGTTTAGATGAGTTGAGTTTTAATAACTTATCAAGATTCGGATATGCCTCTAAATTAAAAGAACACTTATAGATCATCTACCAATAAGTTATAACATTAACAGCAAAATTTGATATCTGAATATTATAAATTATGAACTAAATTTTTATTAAATAGAGTAACTTTTGTTGGTAGATGCATCAATTTTGTTAGGATAGGCATGTCTATGGGGCTTGCAAAATAAATTTCAGAGACAAGTAGGCCCGCAAAATTGTGGAAAAAGAATGAAAAGGGAAAAGGGAAAGAAGACAGACATTCATGGCCCCACCAAGGTCATGGGCCGTAACACAAGTTTTGTTGTCCAGCCTGGTCTCCAACGAAAATCAAATGAGCGTGCATGGACTCTTTCTTTCTTGGGACAATTGTCGGGTAGTACGGTTTTTTTGGAATTTAGATCCCTCAATTGAGTCTCAACTAAAAAAATATTAACCATCAGATTGTGATCTAATGGTGTTGGAATAAAGACACTTTTTCATTGTTTAAAAAAGAAAATATGGAACTCCTCCTTGATATCATTAGATCATAAAATGATTGTTAATATTCCTTAATTGAAGGATCAAAATCCCATCTTTTTGTATCCTCTAACCATTTCTGAATTAAAAAGTATGAATTTTATGTAATGAGATCATATAACACATGTTTGATCTTGATAAATAATAAGATTAAATTACAATTATGTATGAAAGGATATGCCAAAGGCCAGTTGACGTCACAGTACCAAAACACGTGCCTCTTCAGAAGGAAAGGTTATAATTTCGAGTTAAATGAAGATAAAGATGTATATGATTCTACTAGTTTGAAACAGTGTTGACAAGAAGGTTCAGAAGAAATATGATGAACATGGGTCAAAAGGTAAATGTAATTCAAAACAAATGAAACCAATAATAAAGGAGAGGAGCATTGGAATAAGGATTTCCTCTTTAAAATCTTTCCACATGTGAAGATAAAATGTAGGAGAAGAAAATGGTAGGAGACATTCTTCTTAATTTTTTCCCCCCTCACTTTTTCTTCGTTTCTATTTTCTCTCCTTAACAAACGTGCTATACTATCTTTTGTGTTTTCTTTTCCAATTGTCTTTCCTCTCATATTTTTCTTCTATCCTAGCAAAAGGGTTACATCGGTATGTCCACTTCTTTTCCCCCCAAATCACATGACTACTATCTTAATTTTGGACTTCATTATGTCAACTCAAAAATATGCATTCTTAACCATGGTATATTCTTTCGTTTAAGGTTTATGGTCGAAAAGGCATATGCTCGATCCTCTCACATCGCTGCAACTTTTTTTTAAGACAAAAGAACAGAGAAACTTACAAAATGGTCCTTTTATATATATAAAAAAAATTATCTCAATGCCAGGCCATCTCTAGAGCCGGGAATTCGGGCGGGCCGGGCTAATTCGGGCTCGGTCCGAATAGGCCCGAACCCGAATAGGCTCATGTCATTGAAAAGCCTGAATAGCTAAGTTCGACCTGAATTCCTTTAGGCTTTAGGCGGCCTGAATATCCGAATTTAATTTACAAAATTATTTTTAATTATTTTTTTTACTTTGAAATTAATTATTTCATTTTATAAAAAATATAAAATATATTTTTTTAATACTTAAACGATATCTAGGACTCAAATATATGGTATTTTAGTATAAAATGATCTAAAATTTAAAGAATTAATTAATATTTATTATATTTTATATATTTTTTAAAAATATAATTTTTTATTCAGGTATTTGAGTCAAGCCCGAACCTGATCGGGCTTGGCCCGAACATAAAAAAATATCTTTTTTTAAGCCCGGTCCTAAAATTTTTCGGGCTAATTCGGGCTAGCCCGTCGGGCTTAGCTTGAATTACCGGCTCTTACCATCTCATGCTATGTATTTATATCATTATTACCTAATTATATTTATGTTTATTATTAATTTTTGTTTAAAATATATATATGATATTTTTTTTATTAGGAATTAATTTTTATTTTATGTTCATTTGCATTCTGAATGTCAAGTGAATAAGTGCTGAGTGGCTGACTCAATATTTTTATAGAGTCTATATATTCTATATATTTATTTAGTTATTGAGGTGCCTTGTTCTTTTGAATATACGTCTTCAGTTCTATTATTATTATAAAAAAAAAAAAGATTTAAGTAGACAGAGGCGTATCGTGAGTCAGGACCGTCAGCCTTGGCCCTCATGTTTTTGACTAATCACCAAACAAAGCCGAGGAGACAGCATGGGCCCTGGCTCTTGCTTGTGCGCCTAACCTTTCGATACAAATCTCCTTTATCTTTGCTATTTTATTTCATTTTGATTTGTTCTATTAATTAATTAAGTAATAATTGAATTTTTAAACTTTTAAATTTATCTCAGTTATCAATTTATATCTTAAATTTAAATTTTATAGATTTAGTTACTTATGTTTTCTTAAATTATCATGTTAATTTTTTAAGTTTAAAAAAAAAAACAAATTTACTCTCAAATTAATCTAATGTATAAAATATGTTGATGATTTGGTGTGTATATTTAGCTAATTGAAAATAAATTAATCCTCAAATAAATTTAATTTTTATTAATCTAGTTCTTTATGATACATTTTATTCTTTTATTTTTTTTTGAAATTTTTAGTATGTTTTTCTCTATCTAAAAATTTCACTTCTTTTCATTAATATAATTTGCTAATATCAATATTCTGTTAACTATGTTAATAAATTTTAATAGTATTATTTCTTATTTAAATAATCGAGCTCAAATTAATGATTATGGCGCATTTAAAGGATTAAACTGATAAAAATTGAAGTTGAGAGATTAAAATTTTTCATTATCACATTAATTAATTATTACTATCATTTGGCCACTACTTTCCCATTTTTTGACTCCACTTGTCCCACCTTTCTATCCGTTTTCTCCTATGTTCCATGGCAAACCCACACTTTATTCACTTTATAAAAAAAAAAGTAATAACCAAAAAGTGAAACTCAATAAAAACTTATTTTGTAGATGTCACCTATTAAACAAATCATTATTAAATATTAAGTTACTTAGAGAAATTATCATCTGTATACCAGATTTAGATCTTTGATTGAGGGATATTAACCATTATATTGTGATTTTTAATAGTATTATAGGAGGAATTACAATTAAAAATCTTTGCTTATTTTTCAAAACAAAAACTTACTCTTTCCTCAACACCGTTGGATCACAATCTAATGATTAATAAATATCCTTCAATGAATCCAAATCCTGAATCTGCAAAACAAAAAAAAAATACATATCATACCTACACTTAAAAATATTTAATGGTTTCATCAAAAAAATATTTAACGGTAAAATCAACTAATTAATTTTTTGAACTAACACAGTAAACTCATTAACTCGTCACGAAATTTAGAAAGCTAAAGTAAATTAATAATTAAATGTGAAGAAGATAAAATTTTATTTTGGTCTTTCTTGCTGTTAAAATTTAAAAAACAGTGTTTTTTTTTTGACCAAATTTAAAAAACAGTGTTAAGATAAAGACATTCTTAAAACACTGAAAATAAAGCAAACCGAATAAAACTCTGATCTCAAATGGGTTGCGACTAAAATTTTCAATTTTGCGAGCGGAGAAATGGATTGGGAATGGAATAAACCAAGGAAGAGACGAGCGAAGCTGATGCGAAACGACGAAAAAGGCGAGCGTTTTTTTTGTTATCCGCTCCTGGCCCCAATGCTGCGACAAGCTTTCAACAGAAATTGAAGGGAAATCGAAAGAATCAGGAAAGCATTAAAGGGAGATTTATAAAAAGGAGGATTATTAGTTGGAACAGTGAGGTGAGTGTATGGGTTGGTTGATTGGCTCTTGCCAAATTTATAATCACGGAAATGCTTCTCTTCGACGAAACCCTCACCATTTGTTTTCTCAATGCATCATCAATAAGACGCGTCGGCTTTTGACTTTTCCTGTATATCATTGCCGCTTCATCCGTTTCTCCCTTTTTCATTTTTATTCCATTTTGTATTGAATCGTGGTATTCAATTCTAGGGTTGTCCAGAGTTTGATTTCAGCCATGGCGCAGGATTCGTCTGAGCAAGACGGCGCTGATTCTGAGTTTGTGGAGGTTGACCCCACCAGTCGATATGGTCGGGTCAGTTTGCATTCTACTTTTTTTTTCGTTCAATTTAAGTTATGCAGATTTTCATTCTGGGTTGTGATAAATTTTCTTTTAAATCTGATGCCAAATGCTGTGTTTTTTTTGCCCCATCTCCTGTTACATTGCTCGGCTGCATGAATACTTAAATTTGTTCCCCTGTTTTTAATCATCATCTGACTTTTCCTTTCTATGTAATTTGTTTTTTCAATTTATATTTTTATATAATTATTGCTTTGCTTGGTGACTTATTTTCCTGGACTGATTGTAATGTGCCTGATTCATTGATTGGGATGGTAACCTAACGGATGTGCTTTGCATATCGCGGTATTCTGATGGTTGGTATTCACAGTACAAGGAGGTTTTGGGGCAGGGGGCTTTCAAGAAGGTGTATCCTTTTTCTTAATTTTCTATGCTAAATAGAATATGTAATGAACATAGCAACTGTATAAATGACATCAATTCATGTGATAGCAATTGCTTTTCGGATCATTTGTATGTTCTTAAACTGTATAAATGACATCAATTCATGTGATAGCAATTGCTTTTCGGATCATTTGTATGTTCTTAACTACATATGAAAATATAGATATAGAGCATTTGATGAATTGGAAGGAATTGAAGTGGCTTGGAATCAGGTTAAGGTGGCAGATCTATTGCGTAACAACGAAGATTTGGAGCGCCTATATTCAGAAGTGCATTTACTGAAGACGTTGAAGCATAAAAATATAATTAAATTTTACAATTCATGGGTTGATACAAAGAATGAGAACATCAACTTCATCACTGAAATTTTCACGTCTGGAACATTACGCCAGTGAGTTTATATATGTTTTTGAGTTCATATTATTGTTGTTTTTATTATTTGAAGACAGACCTTTGTGGTATGTTTAACTTCTTTATTTTAGATATCGGCAGAAACATAAGCATGTTGACTTGAGAGCACTGAAGAAATGGTCTAGGCAGATTTTGGAGGGTCTTTCTTATCTTCATAGTCATGATCCGCCTGTTATTCACCGAGATTTGAAGTGTGACAATATTTTTGTCAATGGAAATCATGGTGAGGTTAAAATTGGTGACTTAGGATTAGCTGCCATACTTCAGCAGGCCAATTCAGCTCACAGTGTTATAGGTGACATTTTTTTTGTGAAATCATCCCATTTAGTGTGTCTATTTTTGGATTGGACTAACTCTTGGAACCATGTTACTGAGTAAGTCTTTATTTTATTTGTAATTAGGTACTCCAGAGTTTATGGCCCCCGAGCTTTATGAAGAGGAATACAATGAACTTGTTGACATCTATGCTTTTGGTATGTGCTTGCTTGAGTTAGTGACTGTTGAGTATCCATATGTTGAATGCTCTAATGCTGCTCAAATATTCAAGAAAGTGACATCTGTAAGTGCTTAACATTTGTTAATTTTCAGAGAGTTCATGTGCTATATGCCAAATCATTCGAATTCTATTAGGAGAATGTTACTTTTGAAGTTTTGATTCCTTAGCATCATCACAATTAATGTTAGGGAATCAAGCCAGCATCACTGTCAAAAGTCAAAGACCCTGGAGTTAAAGCATTTATAGAAAAGTGTATTGCAAATGTTTCTGAGCGGTTGCCTGCAAAGGAACTCTTAATGGATCCATTTCTTTTGCCTGATGATGAAAATGACAGTGTAGGTCATTCTTTAAGGTCCCGAGCCCATGATTTAGGTAAGTATTTGTAGTCTGTAGTTTCTTTAACGTGTGATTTTTCTTTTTTTTGATCTTCTAATGCACTGAATACAGGATATAGTGACCATCATGCTGTTCATAATTATCTGGAAGAAACTTCTGCCGAGACCAGTAGGGAATTTAGAGTAGAAGGTCAAAGGAGAGATGTTAATACTATATTTCTGAAACTAAGAATAGCAGACTCCTCAGGTTCTCTCTTTCCTCCTTCTCTCTGTCTTCTAATATTCAACTAATTAAAATGAGTGCCTATTCACTTCTTTCATTGGATCTGAATTCAAGTTTGTTCATGGGTTCAGGTCATATTCGCAACATCCACTTTCCTTTTGATGTTGAAGCAGACACTGCAATTGCTGTTGCTAGTGAAATGGTTGAGGAGTTGGAACTCACGGATCAAGATGTTACTACTGTTGCTGAGATGATTGACTTGGAAATCCGCTATCTCATTCCAGATTGGAATCCTAATGAAACCCCTACTGCTGATAGCATTGGTCAAGAATTAGCAGTTTCAGGTGTCTATACCTCTGAAATTAGGGATGAGGCTTCTCCACGGGGAAATAGTTCTACAGCTTCTACTGGTAGTCTCTCATTAGAACGATTACGTTCAGGTCGTAACTACTGGTCTGACTCACCCAAAACAGGTAAAAACTCTCCATTAAGGGTTGGTGCTTCAAAATTGTCATGTCAATCGGATTTGAATGCTGAAGGAACCTCAATTGCAAACCATGCTACTTCAACTGAGCAGCAGGATGGAAACTGTAGTTGTGATGGTGATGATAGTGTAGAGAATAAATCTAGTGGGACTGTTGGTTCCCATTCCAGTGAACGAAGTACTAAATCTGGGGATTTACAGGCAACCAATGAAGAGTCCCCACTAGTAGAAAGACCTATAGAATTGAGAGATGATGAATTAGATGATATCACCATAATTGCTGCAAAACTCAAGCAATTGTTGGTAGAGCAACAAGAGGAGTTAGATGAATTAAAGAGGAAACATGAATTAATTGTCTCAAATTTTTTGAAGGAACTTCCTCTAGAAATTCAACAAAAGGTCTTAAATATATGCAACCTGGAGGCATCTAATTTACGGTAAGAGTTGAGGCCCTTTTCTTATCCAGAAAGCCAAAATTCAGATATTTTTGCATCTTATTGGGAATGAAGGTCTATTTAACATCAATATTTTGGCTTCATCATTCATCCTTGCTTGAGAGGCACCCCTTGTGCTAATTGGGATTGCTTGAGTGATCTTGGTGTGATGTTAGAAGACAATGCGGACAGTATTATAAATTGGAGATATCTAGTTGAGGGAATGTTTAGTGCATTGTGTTCAGTTTGAAGGATCCAATGCAAGAACTGTATTAATCCGAGGAGCACTAGGTATAGGCAAGAATTCACCAGCATTAGACAGATTTCTTCATATTCGTTAAATCATCAAAATCTCACTTTTTAGTCTAGTTCGAGTCATTAAATTATAGGAAGTGTTTACATGTACATAAAAGATCATTTACAATTGTTTTGCACACATGGATTTGGGGCTTTGAAATGAATAATTAAATATTTTCTTCTGATGAAATATTTGTGTTTGCTTCGTTTAGTTATTGTTGTGGCATGGAGGATTATGATTTGTGTTATATATAGGTTGGCAACACTAACTTCCCGTTGCTTTTTAAGTGGATCTATCACATTTTTTTCATGAGTAGCATGAGTAGTCGACACAAGGTTCTTGTGTTGCGGTATGAGTGAAGGTACACCTTCTTTTACTCATGCCCCCATACAAGAACTTCACACTTGCTGTATGAGGACAGGTCAAGACCATCCTAAGGGGTGTATGTATGCAGTCTAGACTCTTCTTTCATAGTGTTCCTTAGAATATGGTTGATGCTACCGACTCTTACATAGATGCTGCCCTCTTCCTTCACTCTTCATGATTTCCCTCATCACCCACACCTCTTGCTTCTGCCTCATCACTGCAGACACAAAGTGTCAACATTTCAACGTTGGGAACAAATTCTTAAAATGTGAACATAAACATCTCATGATTGTGATTATGAATTGAAAACTAAAGATCAAAATAGTTTGGAAAAAATAGTCTGTATGTACTTAGTTTTTTTAAAATTTTGAATTAGGTCTATGTAATTTATTTTATTTGAATTGAATTATAATTTGATTTGATAGATTTGTTAATTCTTAGAATTTAAAATCCTTGAATTTTCTCCTTTATTTTTTTAAAAAATGAAATTTATGCACTTTTATATTTTTATTAAAAGTCTATATAACTTTAAAATTAATTATATTTGGGATTATAGTAAGACAAAGCATTTAGGTTATGTCTTCTAATTAATTTTTATACATATAAAATTTTCATAGAAAAATTAATAAAAAACGCAAACATGGTATTAAATCAATTTTTTCTCTTTTGAGCAAAAGCATTAAATCAAATTTTCTATAAAATTTGAAAGTGTTTTTTATTTAAAAAATTAACGCTTCATTAACAATCTTAACCTTAAGGGATTAACAAATTAAAATATAATGGCTCAATTCAAATAAAATAAACTACATAGACTTAATTTAAAATTAAAAAATCACAAGAGCATATAAATTATTTTTTAACTTTAATTGTTATGAAAATAAGAACATAAGAGACTAAGATGAGAAGAATGAATAAGACATGAAAGAATTAAGAGAGGAAATAGAGAGTAGTTCTCATTCACTTTTAAGCCTACTATTTATATAGGTCATAAGTCCTTAAATTCTATTACAAAAGCTACATACAAATAATAAATCTATATAATTATAGAATATATAACATATATATTAATAATGAAAAACTCTCAAGAGGCCATGTGGTAGGTTATTTAATTTTAATTGGAGAATGTCAAATAGCAACTCTTAGAAGATTATGAACATCAACAATTATATTACAATATTTATAACATTAATAAAATTCAGCAAATATACATGAATTTTTGTAGTATAAACCAGAAGGATTGAATTCCAGTTTGGTACTCTTCTTCGGCAAATTGGATAGGATTACATTTTGTTAACCTACTGACAGTCATTGCTCCTACTTGAAAAGCAAGGCTTTTCATGGCCGCTATCACCATCTCCAATAGTCCAATTTAAACACAGAATATACGACACAAACGTTGGTATCAAGCGTCTGGGAAAACTAATTAATTTAATTTATAATTTTATCAAGTTATCAACTTAGTCCTGAATTCTCAAACTCAATCCTCCACTTATCCAATAAACTTTACATGGAATTACATTAGCACCACGTGGAATTAAAAAGTCCCATCATTAGTGCCATGTCACCCTAAAACAGTTTCATTATAAGCCAAATCATTGGCCCGAGGCAAATTTTAATGGAAGAAAATCAATAAAAAAATCCTGGAAGAAATTTAATTTTTTTAAAAAATTTCTACCAAGTAAACATTAACAAATGCATATCTTGATAACTACATGGAAAAATCAAACTCACAAATTCCATAAACCCTCGTGCATTTGCAAGCCTAAGTTATGTTACATGTCATTGATAAATGGTTACTAAATAAAATAAAATCAGGTAGATATGTAACACCACAATATCACCTGAATAATTGTGGCTTTAAAAGGTATCATAGCACAAAGCATAACAGAAAACTCAAAGAAAGGCTACATATTCAGAAAATCAACAAAATATCCTAAGATTACCGACCAAAGGACACCCAACCTCTAGCTAAAATTTATTTTGTTAAACCATATATATATATATATATAATTAGTATAATTGGTGCATGTAAAGCAAGAGGCAGATGCCAGAGAAAAACCTATCTGTATCACACCTTCGCAATGATTACAAGCAATGAAAGTGGGCGTTAGTATGCCTACGCGCTCGCACGCATTATCCATAACTTGTCATTTCCATTCTGACTAATACTTGGGAATTGTAACAAAACCTGGGCACAAAAATTGAGAGTTAATCTGAAAAAATAAAATTCCCCCGGGGTATAATAATAATTAGAACTAGCTAATATTTCCCGCGACAGCTCGGAAAGGGCAAAAACACTTCATTTATGAGCACATGCTTTAGGTGTGAGTGCACATTTGTGTGTGGGGCGTGGAGGACTATAAATTGAAGATTATTATGTTTGCTCTCAATATACTACTGTTTCTCAACTACAAAATACATATTTTAAAATAAACAAAGTCGCATGAACTAACTAGAGGAAGCATGAATTATCTGTCTCAAATCTTTTTAGAAAATTTCACCATAAGGCCTTAAATATGTGCAACTTGGAGGCATTTGACAAGAGAAATGTGCTTCAAGAGTTGAGGACCTTCTCTCATCTTGATGCTCATTTCCCGGGCTCATCTTGATGCTCATTTCCCGGGCCAGTGTTGTTTAAGACCCCTTCCTGGTCTAAGAAGTTCAAGTTCAAATATTTTGCAAAGGATCAACTGCATACAAGTCATTTTTGCCTATCCCATCTATCTAATTAACTTACAGTGTTAGTGAAATTTCAAATTAGAGCCTAATTTTTAGATGACCAAAATAAAATGAATTATTACATATACTTATTTAATGATTGCTTAAGATAGTTCTAGATATATAAAGTAATTTAAACGCAGAAAGACTTGACACATTATATATTAAATACATAGTGAGGGGAGGCGCCCGTGTCACTTTTGGGAGTTGCATGACAATACTTGGGCTGGCAGTTGACATCCTTCACTCATGCCCCAACACAAGAACCTCACACCTGTTGTATGAGGATGGATCAAAAGCATCCCAAGATGAGTATGCATGCAGCTCTAAACTCTCTTCCTCAGTGTTCCCTAGAATATGGTTGCTGCTACCAACTCTTGCAAAAATGCTGCCCTCTGCCTTTTCTCCTCATGATCTTTCTTATCACCCACACCTCTGGCTTCTCTCCCACTGCCGCAGGCACAAAACATCAACATTTCAACCTTGGGTTCAATTTCTAAAAATGTGAACATAAACATCTCATGATCAAGATTGGTGTAAAAGGACATAGTTATTTATGAATGGCAGGTTTGTTTTAGATTAAAAATCTTAAGAATGTTAAAGTTCGGCTTAATTATTATAGCTCTAACTGTGATAAAGACCAACTAAAGTAATCCCCCCTATCCGTTCTTGAACCTTAATTGTATATAAGGCATGATAATATAAAGATGAATTCAAAACAGAACTTCAATGAAGTTTTAATGGAATTCAGCAAATATGCATGATTTTTTGAAGTATAAACAATCTGTATTCCACTTTGGCAGTATTCTTTAGCCAACAGACATGCTTATTTAATAGAATCAGAAAATATGCATGAGCTTTTGCAATATAAACAATCAGAAGGATTGAATTCCCATTTGCCAATATTTTTTAGCCAGTTGGACGGGATTACAGTTTGGTAATCCCATGGCATGCTGATAACTCTACATCATTACTCAGGCTTGGAAAGCAAGGCTTTTTGTGACCATTATAACTATCTATAATTTAAAGCCAGATTAAGGACACAAACATTACTATTAAGTGTATATGTATAAACACTTAAAAGTAAGACCCAAGGTAAACCTTGCTCCTCCCCCTCCCCAAAACACCTCCTCCATCATATGCCAAATCACTTGGCATGAGCAAATTTGGATATCTGGAATAAGTGGTTGGAGCAAACTAGAAAAAGGGATGAAACTGCAAAATGAGAATATTTTATCCATAACCCCATAACTTACAATAAATTATTTTGGACAGGATAAATATCTGGAAAATAAAGAAAGCAAACAAAATCAAACTCAGAAATTCCATAACACCCTCAGGCGTAATCGCAAGCCTATGTAATGCTAAATAAAATAAAATTAGGCAGATATGTTACATCTCAGTAGCACCTGAATATTTCTGGCTTTAAAAGGTATCATAGCACAAAAGGATAATATAAACAGAATGCAAGGAAAGTCCTCATATTCAGGAAAGCAACAAAATATCCTAAGATTACTGACCAAATAATTCCCAACCTCTAGCTAATATTTATTTATTTTTAAAACTATATGTGTACTTTCTATTATAATTGGTGAATATAAGGTCAGAGGTAGATGTTAGAGAAAAACCACCTGTACCAAACTTCGCAATGAATACAAGCCATGAAAGTGGGTGTTGGAATGTCTTCATGTTCAAATGTCATATGCATTAGCCGTAACTTTCAGCCTAACCAATTATAGTTCGTATACAATGCATTCTGTAACAACTTAAGGCACAAAAAATTGTGATTTACTCAGGAAGAAAAACTTCCTTCCCAGTATATTAAGAATTAGAACTCACTAATAATTCCTTCAACAGGGCATTAGCAAAGGCAGCAAAAGATAAAACTCTTATGAGCACATACTTTGCGTGAGTGGGCATTTGTGTGTGCACGTGTGGAGGGCTATAGATTGAAGTTTCTAGTGTTTGCTCTCGATATACTAAAGTACTTCAACTACAAAGTCCATATTTAAAAAGAAACAAACCTTTTTGAATCAGAAATGCTCGAGGCATTGTTGTTGCCACGTTTGTCTTGATGGATGCTGTTGGGGGTTGGAACAGCAACGTTGCAGGCAAACGGTGACAAAAGCGGATCAGGCATTGATTCATGTTTGTTTCCCCTGGTATTTGCAGCCAGTTTCTTTTGAAGCATAGCTGAATTACCAGACCAGATGCTGGATTTCTCAGTTTTCCACCTCCTCTACAACACAAGATGTCAATATATTCCACTGGATCACGCAACAAAAAATGCTCCAAAATCCTAGAATGAGCTAGATTACGTTCACAACAAGGAACTTAATTAATTAGACAAGAGATACCTTCAGTGAGCTTGAATGCTGTAGTATAAAATGTCTGATTTCATCCTTCCCTAAATTTGCTGCACATAGAGGACAAACCTGGTATAGGAACATTTTATAGCAGTCATTTATATTTCAATAATCAAGTAAAATTAAGTATCTGCAAGTAATGCTTAAAAATGTACTATTCAGCTTTTTTTTTCCCCTTAACATTTAGCTACTACAACTGCTGGATTACTTCTCTATATCTTCTTAATCCAAATCTGGAGATTGTTCGTAACAGCCAGGTAAACAGTTTCTGTTTAGATTGATGAACGTTTCACTTAAGCAAGGAACTGTTATATGTAAATGAGACACTAAATGGTTTAACAATAAACTTTTGAGGGGGGGAAATCAAACATTAAAATTTTGTCTAAAGAAAAGAGATCACGCACAGCATTTTTTAGGTCAAAGCAATGCTCCTCTTGCAGATGGCTACAGAGAATAGGAACTTCAATCTCCACACAACAGAAAGGACAAGGGAAATATGACCGGGTATCATCATCTCCGTCGGATTCATAAAATGCCATATAATTATCTGTGGTTTGGCAGAACTCAGAGTTAATATGCAATTTCTATCAAGCAAAAGAACCAACGACAAAAAGCATCTCAAAAATTAAAAGGAATAGGTAAAGCCAATGGACTGTAAGCAATGCACTAATACACAAAAATAACAACCGATATATTCACTGGTACTCGGCGCCTTCGGGGCACTAAATATCAGTGTATTGCTTGGTATTTAGTCTCTTCAATTCAACCAAGCAACAAAACAAATATCAGAAGTTCAGAACACTAAGCCTTACTTAAGCTATTGATTGACTGCAAGGCAGACACAAGAAAATTCATGGATTAGACCTATGAAACAGTTTATCAACCACCTCAGGTTTCATGGGCGACACACACTTTGACAAATTCACTTGTACCAAAAAAAAACCCGGATGGGTAGTTTAAAAAAAAAAAATCTCACACAAGCAAAATTGTTCATGGGAGCAAAGTTAATACTTGCCCTCATTCTTTTTAACCCATCAAAACAAATTATTGAGAACCCATTTCAGAATACAAGTTGAAGAATCAGTTAGATTTGTGCACACTGACAGAAACATCAAAAGCAAAGTAAGAGAGAAAACAGAGAGAACGCTCAAACTGAAAGGTAAAAAAAAAAAAACAAACTAGAAAACAGAGCAGAGATGCCTAACCCAAGTCAAATAACAGCTCAAACGCATAAGAAGCGAATAAAAATAGTACCAGAGTGAAGGCAAGCAGCTTGGACAGCAGAGAGATGGTGGGCAGCGCAAATAGCAGAAGCCCTGAAATCGAAGTCCATGACTAATAACCTTGATCTCTGCCGGCGAGGGGAGCGGAGGAAGGAGGGAGCGGGTTCGGTTTCGGTGGTGGAAGGTTGAGCCTGAGAAGACGGTGACAATAAAATGAGAGTGGGAAAAGACCCATAGAATAGGAGAGCGCCTGCTGCTTTGGCATCCCATCATTATTTTGATCAGCTTTGATTGGTGTAGTGATGTGTCTGACAGTGTGAAAGCTTTCCCGACACACAAAACCAAAGCTGGATGCTGGATGATTCACACGTGTCATTTTATACCGATATAGTCAGTATATAGATTTCATACACTGTTTATCTTAATATGATACGTTCACTTTTATTTTCAAAGTTTAATCTAAACAGAGTTTGGGTTAAAAATACTTTGTAACTTTTTTTATTTTGAGGCACGTGCAGTCCTAAATTTTTTAAAAGAATTTGTGTCTTAAAATAAAGTATTTTCATTTCATTATTAAAAATTTTTAATTTTAATAGTTAAATTGAAGTTTGATCAAGAATATTTTTTATATTTTTTTCTCTCTTTCATTATGTATTTAGTCTTTGATTTTGCTATTCAATGAATTTTTTTTTTGAATTTATACTAAAATCAAAATAACCTTAGGAGACTACATACATCCAAAGTTAGCAATAGGGGCATCCCTCATCATCCATCAAACCATAGGGGATTTAGAGGATGATCAAAGATGCAAAAGGTCTCTTCAAAAATATGAGTTTTCCTAGCTAAGTAATCAACAAAGACATTCTCTTCACGATCCAAGTGTACTGCATTAATAGTCCAGTCCTTATGCAATAAAAATATGTGCATCAGCTACTATATCTTTGAAGGGGTGATTTTCACTACACCCTCTTGTCAGCATGTTTAGTGCTTCTAAACAAGTTCACATTCCTATAACCACATTCCCAACACAAGCTCGGGTCATGAATAATAGCAATTAATTCAACAATACCAGAAGGAATATTGAGAAGTTTACAACTAAAACTTTTCTTTCACTTTTTATGTTTCCCCCAAATAATGCTACCACAACCTGTCTCACCATTAGACTTAACTAAAGCATCCACTTCCAACCTTACAAAACTACTCAAATCTCTATTGCTAGTGTTTGTAACTCCTTTCTTAAAGGATAAAAGTGGGGCTCTATAATCTCTTATTTTTAATCACCATTAATTGCAAAAAGGCAAGGTAATCAAGGGTTTAAACCCAATAAAGATTACCAATTTTTTTATTTAAAATAATCCCATACACTTTCAAATTCTTAAATCAAAGTTTAAAATGTTTGTAGAAGCATGGGAATCAAGAAAGAATCAAAACAATTGCACAAAACATCAAAAATAGTTAACTATGTAAAAAACAGCATGTGTGTCGCGGCTTATCACTCCTATGTTGCGATGTAAGGTGCATGCGCCATGGCGTATTGTACGAGTTTGATAGTACTTTATTGTCAAATTGACAGCATAAGGGACAAACTTCCAACGCTTTCCATTTCTTCGTCCTACATCCGATTGAAGTGTTCTTGGTACTTATAGAGAGCTTTCTCCTAGCTCTAGTTAATGACACAAGTTTTACAATCAAATTCGTTTTCTATCAAAAGCTGGGCACCTTGTACCAATTTTACTTTTTTTTTTATTATAAAAACTCACAACTCAAGTGTTTAAACTCTCACACATGTGTTAAAAGCCTACACCAACCTTTAGACCACACTTAAAGGACCATTTTAGATTCATGCAACACACTACACCCATTCAAATACATGCAAATTAGATATTCAACCCCAACCCCTAAATTCACAAAAACACAAGAGAGATGTAATTTTGCATAAATCATCAACATACATCTTAAAATAACAAAAATATACTTTTCCCTACTTGCATACATATTTCGACCTTATACAAGTTTTACATTCGCATTTCACTGACTTAGGGTACAAAGTGCACATGATTTTCACAATAACAATGCAATTAGTCAAAAAAATGGAATAAATTTTTAATTGGCAAATTAACAACATTCAAATACACATAATTAAACAAGGAGGTCTACAAGTAGGATTTACATCAAATCCTAAGTCTAAAAAAGTTTTTCCTAATTCTGGTCTGATAAACTAGGCCCTAAAAATATTAAAGAATAAAGGGTGAGTACAACTATTCAATAATCAAGGTCAACTTAGCTTATACAGTTGCATATTAATTAAAAATGGATGCAAATGACAATATACACAAATATCACTCACATAAAGAAAATATAACCTAGGCCACAATAATGACAATCATGTGACTAGGCATGCAACTCATATCATTAAATATTACAATTATTCACATCTTGAAGTTGTAAAAATAACAACCATATATCATTAAAACACGTAGGACCACAATAATAATAATCATGTGGCTGAAATTAAATGCATGATCAATGCTAACCTTATACCCTTCCATTACCTCCAATGTGAAACCAATGGCTATCAGTGGCCACGTTCGCAATTTGGACTAACCTAACTTTCTACTTGTGAAGAGCTACTGGACTAAGGTTAACTCGCTTATTTGTACACCTCAATTGCCCCCAACACTACCAATCATGGGGTGATGTACCCTTAATATAGCCTCTTCATAAATCGATAAAGACTAATTAGGCTCAAGTCTCTCGAAGAACAAGTGGGATGGTCCTAAATCAGCCATAAAACAATGGCTACCTCCCAATTCTAATGGTCGGTGTTAAGGTAAGCTTTTAATTCTAACGGTAAGCCGCTAATACCACATAGATTTATCAATCTACTCCTCTCCTTAGGTGAATTCCTACCAATGATTATGCTATGCATATAATAACAAGTTTTATGCCATGTAGTACACATTAATGCCATCATATCATGTTTATAAGATTCTCTTTTTCCACTATACTCCATATGCCATAAAACACATAATCACATACTCTCAATCATCATCATTATTCACACATGTATAAATATGTACATTGTTTTTAAAATTCAATACAACTTCAAACCATGCCAAATTTGCATCAATGGATATTCAAAATACCAAACATGTTTCAAACCAATAAATTCAACAAGTGATTAATTAATATATAACTATACAAACTAAATTTTTCCTAATTACCTCAAACCTTTGAGAGGTCAAAAGTTTACCCCTTAAAATAACCACTTCCCAAGCTTCTTCTCAAGGTCCAATGGTGCCAGTTGAGTTAATCTACAATCATATCACAATAATAACATCATTGCCCCATTTTTGGGTAATTTTCAATATCATAACTTCTCATACTCCCTTTTATCAAAACCATAAACTCACTACTCATCATACCCAATAGGTTTACTAAGTTTCATTGGCCCACATTAACATAAATGAGTCATTAAACCATCGTTAATGGTTAACAAACACTCCTAACTCTCTAATAAATGCAAATTTTTAGCCATTAATGGTCCCCAATAACCAACAACTCTTAAAATCGTTAATGTAAGGTTTGAACACTCTAAACTACTCCCATTATATTCATTTTAGCCAATAAGTTTGGACCCATAGTTCGTAAGGACTAAAAATCAACGTTAACACTTAAACTCTAACTTCTTAACTAGAGGAAATGAAAGAGAAAGGGAAGAAATGAACTTAGTAACCTTACATTAGATGTTATCTAGCTCTAAAATACTCTTAAACCTCCAATGCCATAAGCCTTAGCAAATGAATCATGTCTGCTCTTGTTTTCTCTATTCTCTTCTTCTGATTTTTTGTCCGATGCACAAGCAATACATCAAAAATTTTGGCCGCGCACTATGACGTATGGCACAAAGAGGCTCTTCCTCAAGGTTTTGCCTCTGTGTGCTGCGATGAACAATCCTCACATAGTGACATATGGCACAGAAGATCCTTCTTCAATTCTTCTCTCCCTTTGATACCCGAATGGCCCGACTTCACTTTGGACCTACCTTTAGGGTTAAAATCACAATCATTTACCCAAATTAAACCTATCTGACCACATATCACATTAATTGACTTAATTACCTTCTTTAAACTTGATTAACCAAGTTTAAATTTCTAAGATGTTACAGGCTCTCTTAAGTAGGTCACAATCACTACAAGCCCTAAAAAAACTAGATGAACAATGTTTCACATCTTCAGTATTTTCCTTATCAAATACTTTTCTACATCTAGTCACCTAAATATCCTAACAAATATAGCTAAACAGGGTTGCCCAAAAAATCTTATTAGTAAAAGTTTGACCAGCATCATTAGTAGGTTCCACTTGACCTAATCAGCACCTTAAAGGCTTGAAAATACATTCCAAATTTCTTCGTTAACTACTTCTTGCCATCCTTCTTTTGCTTGTTAGTAGTCTCTGATTAAATGCATTGAATCCTCAATCATCTCATATCCAAATGAACATGATTGCTCCACTATAAGGCCTCTTTTTAATCTTAATTCACATGTAGGGGTCCTCCTATGCACAAAGAACCACATGAAGGACTTTATCTTCTCTGCTATTAGCCATCTCCAAAGGATTTTCCATATGCTTTCCACATTGATTTTAATACTTGCATTAACAAAGTTATAAGTTGATTTAACAGTAAAACAATCATTAGTGAAAGGTTCCATAAATATTTATCCTCTCGTGTCTCCTCTCAAGATGGGTGAGCATGAGTCAAATAGGCAGTAGTATTCAGATGGAAACAAAGCCCCAGTTTCGCAATATTCCAATCACTCTACTAGTTAACATAATTAGATATAGTCTCATTGTGATCAATGAATCCTTCTCTGCCAGGGACAAGTTCAACAAGAGGGACATTTAACTTTGACCAATTTTCAAACCAGAAGGAGGTATTTTCTCCATTGCAAACCATCTTACCCACTCCCTCTTTGAACCTATTCCAAACTACACATATATCCTTCTACGTGAGGGACGAGTTCTTCTCTTCTTAATAAATGAAAGATCCTTCGATCCACATTTGTATTTGTCTCTAAGAACACTAACCTAGAGAGCTTCTTTATTGGTAAGAAGATTCCATCAAAGCTTCATAAAAAAGGCTTCATTTTGTCTCTCAAGGTTTTTTAATTCCCAAACTACCCTCTTTTTTCTCCATCTAAATGATATTCCATGAAATGAGATGAATGTTTCTTTGCCCATCAATATCTTCCCATATAAATGTATGACTAGACTTCTCT